CCATATCCGTAAACTAGACGCTATAAACAATATCCGTAAACTAGACGCTATAAACCATATCCGTAAACTAGACGCTATAAACCATATCCGTAAATTAGACGCTATAAACCATATCCGTAAACTAGACGCTATAAACCCTATCCGTAAACTAGACACTATAGACCATGCTCGTAAAACACACACTTGAAACCATATCCGCGCAGCACACACTTAAAACCAAAGTTTTCGAAAAAAACACACCCGCCTGAAGGTTTATAATTTAAACATGTGCACATACTTTATTTGATTGAAGGGGGTTATGCAGATTGATTGACAGAAAATAAATTGTCACGAACATTCGTGGATATAACATACTTGTACACGTCAGTTGCTCACTTCATGCACCACTTGTGCCCACCCAAATATGAATTATTTAAAAAAAATATATAATATCTAAGAGACAAGCTAAGATATTGTATATTTACCAGTGATCTCTATTCTGTATGATGATTCTGTTCCACAACAAGGAGTCTGAAACAAATATCATTTAAAAATGCATGCATTATCAATGCCAGACACAGACGTGAGACCGCCTCCGTGGTCTACTGGTAGAGCATCCGCCCGGAAGGTAAGGGGTTCGATCCCCGGCCGTGTAAAACCAAAATACGTTAAAAGATGGTACCTGTAGGTACCCTGTCTGGCGCTCGGCATTAAGGGGCTAAAGCAAGGACTGGTCGGCTCGGAGTCAGTATACTGTGTCTGAGTGGGGGATTCATGTTAAACTGAGGCATGGTATCTCATTGAGCTAGCACTATAAATCGACATCAGTGTGCACTAGTACAAGCAGACACACTCACACACGTGCATGCACGTCGCTATATAAGTGCAGTAATCGTGAATGCGACGTTAAGCCCCATTTCACCTCATCTCACCTCACAAATGTGTTGTTATATCGTTAATAAAATTAAGACATAACGCATTTTATTGGTGTTAACCTTAATTTCATTTTCAAATGCAAACATCAAAATGGACATTTTTAAATTTCTAAAATGGACGTTAGTATTTGCGATAGTATCGGGCATCGACCTAAAGGTCATTCCTTGCATCGGTGTCAGCTCGACATAGACGTAATACGTGACGAAAGAATTAGGTTTCTTCACCCCACAATTGTGTCACGGGAGAACACTGAAGCTAAATCAGAATTTATTCCTTTCAGCATTATTGGTTTTTTTCTAATAAAAATAGGGGGCATGGGTGGCCCAATCGCCTAGGGCGCCGCGATTCACTGTGCAGAGTTGCGTCCATTGGGCATGCCAGATATCTATGGTTGGGGGTTCGAAACCCGGTTCACTACGATTATGTTTCTAGGTTTGTTAGCACCATACCCGTGCTAGTGGGTTTCACCAACGTGGTAAACATGTGAGACCTGCATCACTTCGGGCTTTCCTCCCACATTAAGCTGACACGCCGTGATATGAGTGGAATACTGTTAAAAGCGGCGTTAAACAAAACTCACTCACTCTAATAAAATACATTTGTTTCAGAAAACGTTAAGCATATATATTTACCGTGATGCATTTCATCGGATATGATATATATTTCATTTGACATCTTGTGAAGTCAATGACATGTTAATGTATAATCTTTCTTTTACGGCTTTAAAGATTGGCAGGAAACAGCATATTGCTATGGTAAAGACCGTGCCACTTAATTGTTCAATCAAGTGATGTTCCTTCACATCTCCTTGCACTGTCACACCTCCTTGTACCCCGGGGCGCGCACCTGTCAACAAGCCACTGCGTATACCAGGACATGACCTAAGCATGGGTTGATGTACGATGTCACAACATGCGTCACACCTTATGTCTCACATGCATGTCATCTCGCACGGGACTACACGAGGACAGACCAATTATTCACGTTTACAAATCTCAGACTTATTTTTAATTCTCGATATATCCATCAATGCAAATGCCCCCAAATAGAAGCATGATTTAAGTGTAAATTCATTATTTGATAAAAACAAATGTGTTTGTGAATCATGAGTAGTACTTGTAAATCACGGACTTCCTTGTAATATGATGAAAGAAAATACCACGTAGCATGTGCAATCACACAGTAAACACCTAGCGCCAGGCATTACGTGGAGACTAGTAAAGTTACACTATAAACCATATCGGTAGGGTACACAGTATAAACCATATCATTAAAGTACGCACTATAAACCGTATCATTCAAGTACGGACTATAAACCATATCATTAAAGTACGCACTAAAAACCATTTCGGAAGAGTACGCACAATAAACCATATCGGTTAAGTACGCACTATAAACCATATCATTCAAGTACGGACTATAAACCATATCATTAAAGTACGCACTAAAAACCATATCGGAAGAGTACGCACAATAAACCATATCGGTTAAGTACGCACTATAAACCATATCATTAAAGTACACACTATAAACCATATAATTAAAGTACACAGTATAAACCATATTAAAGTACGCACTATAAACCATATTAAAGTACGCACTATAAACCATATAATTAAAGTACATACTATAAACCATATTAAAGTATGCACTTTAAGCCATATCGGAACAGTTCGCACAATAAACCATATCGGTTAAGTACGCACTATAAACCGTATCATTCAAGTACGCAATATAAATAATTTTTGTAATGGTCACACTGTAAACAATGCCCATAAAATATAAACTGTAAGCAATTATTGCAAGTGTACACTGGACAATATAACTGTACGCACTGTAAACCAGACAGTCAGATAGACAGTTTATTCAGTATGTAAGGCCATAGTACAGTTCAGTTTTAACACGTACATGAAAAATCAGCGTGACACAGCATAATATATATCCAGCTTACCCTAAATATATGTTTTAAATACATTTCTAAAGATTTTATATCATCTTCATTGTTGGAATTCAACACATTGATCATTAATTGATTGTCTCTGTGTCTAATATCTAAATTAGATAGAAATTTTGATCTCAAAGTTTTATATTTTTCACATATAAAAAGAACATGAAACTTGTCTTCGATCTCCTGGTTGTTACAGTAAGTACATATACAATTTACAATATCACTAACCTTGGTGGGCGGTCGGGTAGCCTAGTGGTTAAAGCGTTAGCTCGTCACGCCGAAGACCCGGGTTCGATTCCCGACATGGGTACAATGTGTGAAGCCCATTTCTGGTGTCCCCCGCCGTGATATTGCTGGAATATTGCTAAAAGCGGCGTAAAACCATACTCACTCACTCACTCACTCACTAACCTTGGTTCCACTTTGATTGACATGAAAGTTATGGAGAGATATTCTAAATTCTCTCAACAGAGATTTATCTTGAAATATAGTTAAATATTCTTCTGGTTGTAACATTTGATACCAGGATAATGCTTGAAAGAAAGCGTGAAGAGGAAACCTGTAGGTGCCAGTTTTTCTGAAAAATATCTAATAATCTTTGTTGAATGTATTTAAAAATAGCTTTTCATTACCGATGTCTTGTGAGATCCATACAAAAGTAAATTCAGTATTAAATGATATGCTTCTTACACCAGACACCCAATTCGTTTTCCCTTCATCATCCAATTGCTTTAGCATTTGGTAAGATTGAAATGGGTACCTATGAGCTTCTATTTGTAATAATTTTATCAACACGCAGCTGGCTATGAACAAGTCCTGCCATATTTGAAGCGTATTTACCAATGCTTAAAAAATACCTTAAAATACAAAGTATTAACTTTTTCAATGGATTCAAAATAGTTAATGCCCCAGCCGTATAACAAAATAGGTACAATTGTGCCATCATATATCGAAAAATGGTTGGTTGGTTTGTTGTTTTACCCCGCACTCAGCAATATTCCAGCTTCATGACGGTGGTCTGTAAATAATACGACCATACAATCCAGTGATTGACATCATGGGCATCGATCCACGCAATTGGGATCGATGACATGCTTCAACCAAGTCAACGAACCTGACCACCCGATCCCGTTAGTCGTCCGTTAGTCGCACAGTTAAATCACCCATCCTACAGTCCAGACTTAGCTCCCAGTGACTATTTACTGTTCCGGCACATGAAATCTGCCCTACGTGGAAGACGCTTCCAGGATGACGAGGACATAAAGGCTGCCACAGAGGCGTGGTTAGAGGGCCAATCTGAAGATTTCTATAAAACTGATATTAAAAGCTTCAAGGACAAATGGAATACGTGTATTGAGGTGAAAGGAGATTATATTGAAAAATGAAAGTGCAAAAGATATTCTGCGACTTGGTCTTATATTGAAGTTGCAAAACTTATTGAGAGGTATATGCACAGTAGATTATAATAATGAAAATATATGGTATAAGTCAAAATAAGGAATTGCATCGGACATCAGTATTGCCCCTGATGCGTCAAATTTGGAAATGTTCTCAACATGTCAAACATAAAACTTTTTGAAAGTTTTACTGAGGCCCTGATTGTTGTAATCTTGATCAAACAACTTCTGAGCAAGAGTCGTATGACGCTCTTTGAAATCTTGGTAGAAAGAGCATGCTCGGTAGTATCTCAAAAGTTGTGAAATGTCAACACAAAAGGCTGGAGCCGCTGGAATATTGCCCGACATGTGGAGAGGGTTTTGTCACCCTGAATCTTGCACAGATCTAAATACGAAACAGATGAGGCGGTGTAACTGGTCACCCATATTTCTAGGTCAGGTGGGTAAATCAGTGAAAGGGAATTTGCTATTTGATTGTTATTGAACGATATCAGATATCATCGATATAACTGAAGCTTAAGTTAAACTTCCTGGCCAAATTACCTTGTAACCACGTTTCATATTCATAATTCTTAAGCACATCAATATATATCGCCAAAAGGCATTCGACAATCTGTTTTTGCCTTCTGATCACATGATGTGACGTCACCGTATGTCATCGGAGTCAGATCTCAATTATAATCACCCCTGGCAAACTATATTTTCTGTTGTATATATATAGTCTACTGTCAGTCGTCAGTTTATTGCATGGTGATCAATTAGAGACAGCTGCAGTTCTTGTCGTTGCAATACCTCCTTGTGATAATCTCTACAGAACTGGGAATCAATCACTGACGAATCAAGACGATCATTGTCAAGTTCTTAAGTGCAACGGTTCCGACATATGATTTATAGCATACAGAATTAACTTTGATGCCAAGTGTGTGTTTAACTTTGTTAGGTGATTGATATAGTGCAGCACACGGTGTTGGAGTTGCAGGAGAACACCTCGCCCAGATACGCACAGCCTCCTAACATGGCGCAAGCCAACCTCATGGTTCTTGTTGCGACATCAGTCCTTCTTGGACTTGTCCACTCGCATGGTCCGAAAGCATCATTTGTGAAAAGTAAGTTCTTAAACAATACTGATTAACTACTGGTTCCTATGACGAAAGGGTCATTGCAACGTTTAAATGATTCTTTATTCTGAACAATTTCGTTATGGCTTTACTGTACTTATTTGTAAGCTTCTAGGATGTATAATGTACTAGAAACATGGAGCATAAAAAGCCTTCAATGATCAACTCAATAGGCCAAATTTTAAAATGGTGTTTTTTTCACGATTTAAAATGAGTAACATTCTGGACAAAGTCCATGAATCGAGATAATTTCTTGATCCTATGTTTTCATTCTTATTCATGCTCAAATTGTAGAAAAAATGCATTTCTTACACATTCTAACTTTATCCATGCTTTGGTTTAGTTGTTTAGCCAATGACGCTTCTGATAACATTCACTATTTGTTAAAATAGTGGGTCAAAGTCTGACTTTTAATAAGCATTTGTGATTTTTCGTTTGTTTCCATCAAAGATTCATCGGTTTTCAGTATGTACGTAAGATATGAGAAGAAAAGAAACAAAGGAATTAAAACTGATTAAAATACATATAAAACAGACGCTGATATGATGAACTGGTGTGACATGTGTACGTGTATGCGCATGCGTCCACTTGTATTATAAACAGGCCTCGATATTTCATATAGCTGTATTGTAATGTGACTTGTGATGTCTACGGTAGATGGAAATATTAAGATCCAAAGCAAATCGTCTGAAAGAATTATCATAGATTACGGGAAGGCGCTCGTGTAAGTGTATAGCAAATACTGAAATAGATACAGGGAGCTTCTAGGAATTTGTTTACAGTGTTGACAAGATCAGTAGCATATAACTCTGTTTAATGCCATGTTAATTAAAAAAGAACTACCTAAATACATACGCACGGAGAAAGCTTATTAACAAGGCAATATGTTTTATTGCATATGTCATATTTCAAAGTTTGACAATCTTGTCATCCCAGTGTACGAACCAAGGGCTTTCGGTTTGCTTGTTTGAGTATGATGAATAATGATAGATTGATGTAAGGCTTGTGCATTTCCTTTTGATTGACTGAATCTTCGGTCTTTTCGCATTTTTTTATCTTAAGATGACGCGAAAAGATGAATCATATACTTGTAGTTTTAATATTTTTTTAATAATCTTCAACCTGTGATAAATTATAACGACCAAACGACAATTATCATATTTTAAAGGTAAGTCACGTCAATTCAATATTTCAACATTACCTGTATTCGTTTTTCAGTTTTCCTTTCAGATAAAGCTCGTGGACAGAATTATATTGATGTACATTAATTTCGTGGAGCGTTTCTAGTGGTATATGTTTAAAAAAATAAATAAATAAGTAAAGTTGTATTTTAAATATGCGTTATACATCAAGGTGAGGTAAATAAAATGGGGCTTAACGTCGCGTCCAAGATTATTGCACTTATAAACCGACGTGCATGCACGTGTGTGTGTGTGGCTGCTTGTACTAGTCCGGACTAATGCCGCATTTATAGTGCTAGCCCACTGAGATACCATGCCGCAGTTTAACATGAACACCGACTCCGACCGACCAGTCCTCGTTTTAGCCCCTTAATGCCGAGCGCCAGACAGGGTAACAAGTACCATTTTTTAACGTTCTAACCTTGAACCTTCCGCTCCTCGGGTGGACGCTCTACATACATCAAGGGGGCGGAAGAGTAGCTCAGTGGTTAAAGCGTTCGCCCATAACGCTAAACGCACAGGTTCATAGTGACCATGGATACATTGCGTGGAGCCCATTTCTGGTTTCTGATATATTGCTTAAATCGGCATCAGATTCAGTTCATCTACTCACTTGGTCAACACAAAGAACATGTCAGCCCTGCGGGTGTACCTAACCACAGACTACAGGTGATGTCAAGAATTATCCCCCAATTATAAACTCCATTCCGAGATTGTATTCTGGAACCTATGTATGAAGAAACTACATGTATGTATATTTATGTAGTATTCTGCATTTACTCGTGCCAGTAAGACAAAGAACATTGATCAAGATGTTCAAGAGAAACCCTGGTCATGTGTTTTGACTCTCATCCAAACATGATGTACTTTTACCAGGAACAATAAAAAAAAAAAAAAGTAAAAAAAAATAAAATAAAAAAAAGATGTTCAAGAGTTCAGATGGTTCGAAGGTCTGTTCATCTGCTAATTAGAGTGGCCTTTTTAATATGTCTACTGTTACTGCATCTTGGTCTACGTTGACCTGTTCAATCCATCTATACTGTACAACGTTGTGGGTTGAAATCAGTTGATCTGCCTAAGAAAATCTTCCATGATTATTTCCAAACAAATGTGTCCATGGTGTTTCAATATTTTTTAATGCGCATTTTCTTGTTTCTTGTGTCAGCTCTCGGTGTGTATCGGTTGTAGGATACTGTGACACGTGCCTGCTGGAGACGGGACAAGGCTACTACAGAGTGCCCGGATATTGCAACGTCTTCGCCCATTGCGCAGCCAAAAGCCAGGAGTTGCAGACGTGCGCAGCGGGGACTTTTTTTGATGGCAAGAAGTGTCGTCATGCGGTGGACGTTGATTGTAAAGACGGTAGGGTCTGATGGAACTGATTAAATATCAGGCAGTGTTACACTATTTCAATACTTCTGAATCACACTTATTCTTTCAAGGGGTGTGAGGTTTCTCGGTAGCGGCCCGGTGGGATGGGCAAATGGTTGATGTCACTATCGCACCCATTGGCTTGTCACGCCCAACATTCGGGTTTGATGCCCCACATGGAAACAACGCGTGTACCCATTCTTGGTGTCTGCAGCGGTGATAATGCTGGAATAATTTCACATTTGTTTTACCAAGTTTTTTTTATCAACGGTTCGTTCACCTGAATTTATACGAGGGGAGGCTCTCTTTCAACAGTTGCTCACACTATCAATCACTGGGTTGCAGGCTGCCGTCATATAGCTTGAATTTTGCTTTAGTTCGGCGTTAAACAACAAACACCTAACAACAAACATATAATGGCAATCTGCTGCTTATAATCTTTTCACGAAATCACTGAGACCAATCAGTGGAGTAGCGGCGCTGGCAGCGTGCCGTGGTAGGCATTCCACCGTCTACATACACCGTGAACAATCTCTTGCTATGATAACACATTGTTTTTATATTACATACCGTATTCGACGTAATAAGCGCCCCGCTGTAATAAGCGCCCTTTCGCGATATTTGCTAATATATTTGCTAGTGAACAATCCCAATTAACACCCCTTCCGACTGATCAATGTGCACAAGACTTATTGATTCTTGTACAATACTCAGTCGTGTGTTATATGCACCCTTAAATGTGGGCAATTACATTCTGGAAAATATATCTGTCGTGTATGGTACGCACATATTTTTCTTTTGTATTATTTCAGGCTGTCAGCATAAACTACGAAATTAACAATTTTTCAACTCTGTTTTTGTTCTCACCAAGATCATATTCTAATAAGAGCCCACTTTTTCCAATTTTAAGAGCGCCCCGGGCGCTTATTAGGTCGAATACGGTATATTTTAATATTTCAAAATTTAAGAACAAAAAACTGTCACAAAATTATATTTATAATTAAGAGCATGTGGAACAATTAATTACTAACGAATAAACATTTTGAGTTTGGCTTCATTTAGAATGGACTGTGCATTTTTATAGTTTGCACATCGGTTCCTCGTTTCATACAATAATGAACCGAAAACTCTTAATAATTAAACTTCACAATAAAAACCATGTGGTCTCAACAATAGTTGAATGACAAACAATCATATAAATACAAACAGATACACATGAGAAGATCGATCAACATTCCTGGCGTAGGAAAACATTTTGTGTCGTGACATGTGTCTGATGACTTGTAAAATTAGTAACTTTAACTGGCACGCCTAAAAGTGTTAGTAGCCAATCAACGCAAATTAGTATAAAAAGAACGAAGAACCGTGAACAAATACAACTCATTATTAACATTAGCAAGTTACTCCAGGGACTTTGGTATAATACAAAGGGAGACAATTCCTAACTGGAGCATGCTCTTCGATCAGCTGCCCCTGGGTTAGCAAGGGTCATTGCTGTAGCTTGCAGATACTTTCCCCACTTTGAATCTTAAAGGTCCGTTGTTTGACACTAAATTCCGCAGAAATTTGTATTTAGGCTATGGGCTCGATAGTTGTGGATCGCTATCTAGAGTAACAATATTTCTGATATTAAATCTGATATTTGAATCTTAAAGGTCCGTTGTTTGACACTAACTTCCGCAGAAATTTGTATTTAGGCTATGGTCTCGATAGTTGTGGATCGCTATCTAGAGTAACAATATTTCTGATATTAAATCGATGATATTTTCGTCGTGTTTTGGAAGTAGATGGCGATTGTAGCCGAAGCTGAATATCGCCATCTCATGGCTTAACAGTACTTGTAGCGATAAGATCTTTTTGTGCAAGTGGACCCAGGTAGAAGGCGACAGAGGAATCCTTCAAGTTGCACTGGGAACTCCGACATTCCATTGTGGTGAAAGTAGTCCGTCTCGGTGTGCGTGGCTTATTGTTTTACATTCATTGCGAAATTGAGCCATTGTAAGACCCACCAATCACCATGTGCTGTTTGATGCTAGACCCTTGTAAGACCCACCAATCACCATGTTCTGTTTAATGTGAGACCCTTGAAAGACCCACCAATCACCATGTTCTGTGTAATGCTAGACCCTTGTAAGACCCACCAATCACCATGTTCTGTTCAATGTGAGACCCTTGAAAGACCCACCAATCACAATGTGCTGTTTGATGCTAGACCCTTGTAAGACCCACCGATCACCTTGTTCTGTTTAATGTGAGACCCTTGAAAGACCCACCAATCACCATGTTCTGTGTAATGCTAGACCCTTGTAAGACCCACCAATCACCATGTTCTGTTCAATGTGAGACCCTTGTAAGACCCACCAATCACCATGTTCTGTGTAATGCTAGACCCTTGTAAGACCCACCAAACACCAAGTTCTGTTTGATGCTAGACCCTTGTAAGACCCACCAATCACCATGTTCTGTTCAATCATAGACCCTTGTACGATCCACCAATCACCATGTTCTGTTCAATCTTAGACCCTTATAAGACCCTTGTAAGATCCACCAATCACCATGTTCTGTTCAATGTTATACCCTTGTAAGACCCACCAATCACCATGTTCTGTTCAATGTTAGACCCTTCTGTTCAATGTTAGACCCTTGTAAGACCCACCAATCACCATGTTCTGTTCAATGTGAGACCCTTGAAAGACCCACCAATCACCATGTGCTGTTTGATGCTAGACCCTTGTAAGACCCACCAATCACCATGTTCTGTTTAATGTGAGACCCTTGAAAGACCCACCAATCACCATGTTCTGTGTAATGCTAGACCCTTGTAAGACCCACCAATCACCATGTTCTGTTTAATGTGAGACCCTTGAAAGACCCACCAATCACCATGTTCTGTGTAATGCTAGACCCTTGTAAGACCCACCAATCACCATGTTCTGTTCAATGTGAGACCCTTGAAAGACCCACCAATCACAATGTGCTGTTTGATGCTAGACCCTTGTAAGACCCACCGATCACCTTGTTCTGTTTAATGTGAGACCCTTGAAAGACCCACCAATCACCATGTTCTGTGTAATGCTAGACCCTTGTAAGACCCACCAATCACCATGTTCTGTTCAATGTGAGACCCTTGTAAGACCCACCAATCACCATGTTCTGTGTAATGCTAGACCCTTTTAAGACCTACCAAACACCAAGTTCTGTTTGATGCTAGACCCTTGTAAGACCCACCAATCACCATGTTCTGTTCAATCATAGACCCTTGTACGATTCACCAATCACCATGTTCTGTTCAATCTTAGACCCTTATAAGACCCTTGTAAGATCCACCAATCACCATGTTCTGTTCAATGTTATACCCTTGTAAGACCCACCAATCACCATGTTCTGTTCAATGTTAGACCCTTCTGTTCAATGTTAGTCCCTTGTAAGACCCACCAATCACAATGTTCTGTTCAATGTTAGACCCTTGTAAGACCCACCAATCACCATGTTCTGTGTAATGCTAGACCCTTGTAAGACCCACCAAACACCAAGTTCTGTTTGATGCTAGACCCTTGTAAGACCCACCAATCACCATGTTCTGTTCAATCATAGAACCTTGTACGATCCACCAATCACTATGTTCTGTTCAATCTTAGACCCTTATAAGACCCTTGTAAGACCCACCAATCACCATGTTCTGTTTGATGCTAGACCCTTGTACGACCCACCAACCACTATGTTCTGTTTGATGCTAGACCCTTATAAGACCCACAAATCGCTATGTTCTGTTTAATGTTAGACCGGGACGGTCGGGTAGCCTAGTGGTTAAAGCGTTGGCTCGTCATGCCGAAAACCCGGGTTCGATTCCCGACATGGGTACAATGTGTAAGGCCCATTCCTGGTGTCCCCCGCCGTGATATTGCTGGAATATTGCTAAAAGCGGCGTAAAACCATACTCACTCACTCACTCACTCACTCACTAATGTTAGACCCTTGTAAGACCCGTCAACCACCATGTTCTGTTTCATGTGAGATCTTTGTAAGACCCAGCAATCACCATGTTCTGTTTGATGTTAGATCCCTGCAGGCAGCATCCTCCTGGCTACACTTACTCCGACGGCGCCTACTGCTACGGCTACTACGTATGTCAGAAACGACGATCCGTTTACCATCGCTGTCGCCAAGGCTTTTCTTTCAACGGTAAACGTTGCATTCCGGATCGTGCCTGTAAACAATATTCGTGGAAACATCAGGGCGTTGGTGAGTATTTTATTTTCATACCAAGATTACAGAGAGCGTCATACGACTCTTGCTTGTTTGATCAAGGTTACAACATTTAAGGCCTCAATAAAGCTTTTAAAAGGTTTTATGGAAGACATGGGGGTGACATTTCCAAATTTGACGCATCGGGGACAAAAATAATGTCCGATGCAATTCCCTATTTTGACTTGTACCATATTTTCCCGTGTTTCTTCAGGTGAATACTTTACTTGCCTTTGCATGTGTTTGTGACGGGTGCCGCCGGTGGGGCAGGATACGCTCTCCTTTTCGCGAACACCTGGTATCATCACTATTTGATAGTGATTCATAAATATATGCTCATGATATAGTTTGAATCGTACAGTCGACTCTTTGGAAAGGATTTTATTTATATTCATATATTCTTTTACTTCGATTATGGACCATATTATTGGTGATTGAAATTAACAACATAATTATGAAAATTATGACCTTTTGTATAGACATCCTTTGAAACAAATATCGCCGGAGTGAAGTAAATACCACAGCGGACTGATTAACAAGGGTTACGTTAAAGATTCAAGATATTCTTGAATACTCAGAGGTGAGGTGAAATGGGTTTTAACGTCGCGTCCAAGATTATTGCACTTATGTAGCGACGTGCATGCACGTGTATGTATGTGTGTGGCTGCTTGTACTAGTCCGGACTGATGCCGATTTATAGTGCTAGCTCACTGAGATACCATGCCGCAGTTTAACATGAATACCCAACTCAGACACAGTATACTGACTCCGAGCCAACCAGTCCTTGTTTTAGCCCCTTAATGCCGAGCGCCAGACAGGGTAACAACAAGTACCATCTTTTAACGTCTTTTGGTATGACGCGGTCGGGGATCAAACCCCGGACCTTCCGCTTTCCGGGCGGACGCTCTACCACTAGACCACGGAGGCGGTCCGGTAACCTCTGAAATATTTGCATGAAACATTTACAGTCGCTTGTGATGTCATGGACCCTCGTACATTATCAGACAGCTCATGCATGAACTGGTTATTAATTTTTACCACCACCTACTACCTACTACTACTACTACTACTACTACTACTACTACTACTACTACTACTACTACTACTACCTCAACTTCTACTACTACTGCTGCTGCTGCTGCTACTACTACTACTATCCAGATTTGATTATTTATAGGCCACCGTCATATAGCTGCACTGAGCAATATTGTAGCTAATACTCCGTTGACATAAATAATCGATTCTGGATCAGACAATCCAGTGATTGATGTTGTACAAGGATCCACACCGTCGGAATACCACGATACTCCAGTGGTAGTAGTAGTAGTAGTAGTAGTAGTAGTAGTAGTAGTAGTAGTAGTAGTTGTGGTAGTAGTAGTAGTGGTAGTAGTAGTAGTAGTAGTAGTAGTAGTAGTAGTAGTATTAGTAGTAGTAGTAGTAGTAGTAGTGGTAGTAGTAGTAGTAGTAGTAGTAGTAGTAGTAGTAGTAGTAGTAGTAGTAGTAGTAGTAACATTACTGTTATCATCATCACCATCATCATCATCTTCATGCGTTGGTGTTCATGTCCAGGTTGCCCCCCACATGTCAACCCCTTCCCCGGGGATGCCACAAAGTACTACATCGAGGGGGCGGGCGGGGTGCTGTACAAGATGCCCTGTCCTTCGGGCCTGCTGTTCAACCCCAAAAAGTGCGTCTGTGACTGGGGATTTCACCCTCCAAAATACAGTGAGTGTCTTATTTAACTAGTCTGGCTAAAATGTGTGCTGATATTCACCGCGATCAGCATTATCATTGAAAACTGGACAATGAAGACTTGGTCAGATCCTCATTGTCGGGGAACGATGACAAAATGAATCCACCAGGTAATAACTCCCTCCCCTTGTAGTTAAGTGATTGTTTGTCAGTTTATACCTTCCCTGTATATTTTGTAAATGCTTTACTTGTTTTCATGTGATTTTTTGGCAGCTGACATGTTTTTATGTTCGGCTACGGTAACAACTCCATGGTTTCTACCAAGGACATGAAAGACTGATAAATCTCTTTGTGTTCACTAATCGCTCTTGTCAAGTGACAACTTCGAGAGAGAACAACGATTACCGTTATTTGTTCTGTATTTGTACTTGGCACCAGTAGAAACTGTGCGAATGATATGATAAAATATGACTTGGGACATATAAGGTGTGACTACGTCAAGTAACAGCGTTGAAGTGGATTAAAGCCGTATTGGCGGTACATGTTTTGGATGTCCTCTCAGAAGCGTTCGTGTCATGCTGTAATTAAGGCGTCTGACAACAAACAAACACGTAATTTATTTATGCAAATATTGTGCGGGTGCTCCCTGTAGGAAAGGACATGTTTACCCTTTTCACGAACACCAGGTGTCCATTCATATAATTTTCACCGTCATTTTGACTTTTACGCCAAAGGAAATCTGTTTCGGCGGATAATCGAGGTTATTCTCTGGCGTTGACGGTTTATGTATACAAATATGAAAGACATTAACACATAACTGTGGTTGTGAAGCACTCATATAGTCTTTTGTTGCCAAGTTTATAAGTTATTGTTGGAATAATCAATACGCAATAACACGGAAAGTCATATTACATGAGAACAATGATTGATGGACGTGCATATTCCGGCGTTCACGTTATAAATTTCACGCCCTTGATTGTTCTATTGTACTGGCCATACTTGTATATAATCCCACTTTTCGCGAACACCTGGTGTCATCACTGATTTTCAGTGGCCCAGTCATATAATTTCCACAGCTATTTGCCCTTTACGCCAATTGGAATCTGTTTCGGCAGAAAATCTAGGATGTTTTTTCTCTGCATTGATTTATGTTCAATTGCTAGACTTGCTATTTTATGAATACGTCAATACGACGTGGGACGTCAAAAACATAACTTAATTGTCGTCAATTATTGCAGGGTGTTCAGCACTATTCAACTTCAAGTTCACTGGAAACACACTTGACGAATACAACAAGGCGTCCCTGACAACATGCGGTCCAGTCACTCCCTATCATGAGAAGGCTCAATTCGGGAAGGGAGGCTACGCTGTTATCTGGATGATGGACGGCCTTGACCTTGACTCGATGTTTGCCTTGTCCTTCGACTTTCAATATCTTGGCAAAGAGAAAGGAGAGGTTGCTCTCTTGGGCAACGATTTTAAGGACGATTTGTACTTCACTTTGAAGGTGACCCTTGACACCATCAGAGGAGAGATTATTGCGCGAATTGAGTGTAAAGATGGAAGAAAACTGGCCCTTGTTGTCAAGGGCGTGGTGAGTATATATACGACCTGTAAGACAATGCTATATGCAAAGAATATTTTGAACATTTTTTTTGTATTACATGTATGTGTGAAACTATGCTAGCATGTTATTGGTCCATCATTGTTATTTATAGTAGTGATGTATAGTCCTAATCTGGCGATTTAAAACCATTCATCATCCAGATTTAAAGGGGCGGTCGGGTAGCCTAGTGGTTAAAGCGTTCGCTCGTCACGCCAAAGACCCGGGTTCGATTCTCCCCATGGGTACAATGTGTGAAGCCCATTTCTGGTGTGATATTGCTAAAAGCGGCATAGACCCATACTCACTCACTCCAGATTTAAATCCATCCATCCATCCAGTCTTTCATCCATCATCTCAAAAATACTGTTATATGAAATACCGATTTGTTTGTTTGTTGTTTGTCGTAAGTAGCGACTAACAGGATCGTTTGGACAGGCTTGTTGACTTGGTTGATACTTTTCATCGTAGATCGATGTTCATGATGTCAATCTCTGGATTGTCAAGTCCAGACTTGATTATTTACAAACCGCCGTCACATAGCTGGAATATTGTTGAGTGCGGCATTGAACAACAATCAACAAAGCGTTAATGATAGTCAACTGGATCTAAGTCAAGCGGTTCATCCGATAACTGGATATGCATATATTTTACTTCAACTTTCCACTGAGGCAGTAGGATTAACCGTATCGTAACCTTGACCTTTATTTCTTATTGGTGCTTACAGTTGGATATACTCACAGTTTAATGAACACCTAGTGTCTACACTGTTACCGTGATTCACGATTTTTGTTCAGGTCTGACTATAATATACCATAGTGTGACTACTATTATAATATACCATAGTGTAACTACTATCATAATATACCATAGTGTGACTACGATTATATTATACCATAGTGTGACTTTTATTATAATATACCATAGTGTGACTACTATTATAATGTACCATAGTGTGACTACTATTATAATATACCATAGTGTGACTACTATTATAATATACCATAGTGTGACTACTATTATAATATACCATATTGTGACTACTATTATAATATACCATAGTGTGACTACTATTATAATATACCATAGTGTGACTACGATTATAATATACCATAGTGTGACTACTATTATAATATACCATAGTGTGAATACGATTATAATATACCATAGTGTGACTCCTATTATAATATACCATAGTGTGACTACTATTATAATATACCATAGTGTGACTCCTATTATAATATACCATAGTGTGACTACGATTATAATATACCATAGTGTGACTACGATTATAATATACCATAGTGTGACTACTATTACAATATACCATAGTGTGACTATGATTATGTTAAACCATAATGTGACTACTATTATAATATACCATAGTGTGACTACTATTATAATATACCATAGAGTGACTACGATTATAATATACCATAGTGTGACTACTATTATAATATACCATAGTGTGACTAATATTATAATATACCATAGTGTGACTACGATTATAATATACCATAGTGTGACTACTATTATAATATACCATAGTGTGACAACGATAATAATATACCATAGTGTGACTACTATTATAATATATCATAGTGTGACTACTATTATAATATACCATAGTGTGACTACGATTATAATATACCATAGTGTGACTACTATTATAATATACCATAGTGTGACTACTATTATAATATACCATAGTATGACTACGATTATAATATACCATAGTGTGGCTACTAATATAATATACCATAGTGTGACAACGATTATAATATACCATAGTGTGACTACGATTATAATATACCATAGTGTGGCTACTATTATAATATACCATAGTGTGACTACGATTATAATATACCATACTGTGACTACGATTATAATATACCATAGTGTGACTACTATTATAATATACCATAGTGTGACTACTATTATAATATACCATAGTGTGACTACTATTATAATATACCATAGTGTGACTACGATTATAATATACCATACTGTGACTACTATTATAATATACCATAGTGTGACTACTATCATAATATACCATAGTTTTTACTACGATTATAATATACCATAGTGTGACTACGATTATAATATACCATAGTGTGACTACTATTATAATATACCATAGTGTGACTACTATTATAATATACCATAGTGTGACTACGATTATAATATACCATAGTGTGACTACGATTATAATATACCATAGTGTGACTACTTCTAAAATATATCAACGCGTGAGAACGGCCAAATGTGCCACAGTTTTACTACGACAATGATATGTCATGTTCTGAATATCGACTACAACATGCCAGAATGTGATTACGAATATAATATATTAACGCTTCGCGTCGTCCACAAAATCAAAGTTTTACTACGCCTATTATATGCCCTAGTCTGTTTACGATCACAACGCGCACGTCGTTACTGTAGTGTGCCTACGACTACCAAACGCAATCGTATGCCTACGTTCTATAATCTACAATAATTTGACAAAGACCATATGACGTATAAACGCACAAGCACAGTGTTACCGACTGGGGAATTGTCAGCTGTCAGTCCTTACCAGCTGGGTGTTTTAAGAGGACATTTATGTCAGATCACTTTTAGTAATTTTGACAGTGATAATATATTACTGTAACTGTACACCTGTATTCGTGTTAAATGACGTTTTCATGTTCTCGCTGGCACCAGGGGCTTTTGTGTAGTAATACTCTATCAGGTACGCGATAAGTGAAGCTCATGTCTCCTAATAACACATTTACTTAAACTTGTAAAAGAGTAAAACCAGTTACAGTAAAGTACGGTTATAACGAACTCAAAGGGACCACTAATTTTAGTTCGTTATAACCGTAGTTCGTTATAAGCATATATACAGCATAACTACATCATATAGTCGGGACCTAAAAGTAAGTTCGTTATATCCGTCAGTTCGTTATAGGCGTGTTCGTTATAACCGTAGTTAACTGTACTTGTAAATTAACTGCAGATTTCTAGCATATTATCGTGTACTAACCATAACTTTTAGATGAGATCTTTATTGAACACGATTCTGTCCAATGAGATATACAGTACTCTCAGTATTTCAGTCTTCTGTTTCCTTTACCATGAATGTCGGTTTACTAATAAGAGGTTGTTAAATACACAGTATCATTGTCAGCGTAGAATTGCAATGAACTGAACTGTACTCGACTTTATTTCTCTTGCCCGCCATTATCAGTAGGCGAATCAAACAGTAGTTAGTACACACCACAAAATAATAATTAACAGCAGAAGAAATACGTTTCTTCTGCCGACGTCACTTCCTGTTGGTGCATTTTCTTCTATTTCTTTTGATTATATAATGTATAGTTTAAAGACTTTCTGGTGACGTATTACGGGAATAAAGGCTATAACTATTATTTTAGTGTTGTGGTGTGTTGATACCGTAGGTTTCAGTAAACAGTTTTGTTTAACGCCATTTGAACAGTATTTCAATATTACATGACAGTATTCTAACTCAAATTATTATTTAAAAAAAAATATTTTCCCCATTTTAATGATATATTCGAGTGAGGGTTTATATTGGTCTTTTAATAGATACTTATTGATTGAGCCATGACGTATCAATATCCCAATTGGAACTAAATGTATAGGAAATGCCAGTACAATACAGGTTTTGTAATCATACAGAATCCAACCATTGGTGTTACCTTTCAAAAAGGTCTTGTAAAGAACTTTGTACAGTGAGGAAGTTAACTTGCTATATTTCATTTTAGTCTAGCCAGGAAATATATGGTTCAAGTCTTGGCTAGGGTATGTAAAGCTGCACTACCTACTCTCCGTACTGTAACGACGTTGTGTATGTTTCTCCAGGCACCGAACGTGAAGCATCGGGTGTGGCTGTCCAAATACAAGCATGCCATACTCCTGAAGGTGGACAACCTACCCTCCGTCAGAGTTAGCCACGGTACGTAGCTACAAACGCTGCAGCTGTATGTTACAGCAGTATGTGTATGTTACAGTAATGGGTATATGTTACAGTAATGTATAAATGTTACAGTAATGTGTAAATGTTACAGTAATATGTATATGTTACAATAAAGTATATATGTTACAGTAATGTATATATTTTACAATTACGTGTATATGTTACAGTAATATATATATGTTACAATAAAGTATATATGTTACAGTAATGTGTATATGTTACAGTTATGTGTATATGTTACAGTAATATGTATATGTTACAGTAATATGTATATGTTACAGTAATATATATATGTTACAGTAAAGTATATATGTTACAGCAATGTATATATGTTACAGTAATGTTTATATGTTACAGTAATGTATACATGTTACAGTAATGTGTATATGTTACAGTAATATGTATATGTTACAGTTGAGTATATATGTTACAGTAATATGTATACGTTACAATAATGTGTATATGTTACAGTCATGTGTACGTTACAGTAATGTATATATGTTACAGTAATGCCTATATGTTACAGTAATGTCTCTATGTTTCAGTTATGTGTATATTACAGTAATTCATATATGTTACAGTAATGTGTATATGTTACAGTAATATGTATATGTTACAGTAAAATATATATGTTACAGCAATGCATGTATGTTACAGTAAAGTGTATATGTCACAGTAATGTGTATATGTGACAGTAATTTATATCCTACAGTAATGTGTATATGTTACAGTAAAGTATATATGTTACAGGAATGTGTATATGTTACAGTAATGTGTATATGTGACAGTAATTCATATCCTACAGTAATGTGTATATGTTACAGTAAAGTATATATGTTACAGGAATGTGTATATGTTACAGTAATGTGTATATGTTACAGTCCTATATATATGTTACAGTCCTGTGTATATGTTACAGTAATGAATATATGTTAATGTAAATGTAATTTGTATATTACAGCAATGTGTATATATTTCATAAATATGTATATGTTACAGCAATGTGTATGTTACAGTTATGTGTACATGTTATTGTAATGTGTATTTTACAGCAATGTGTAAACGTTATAGCAAAGTTTATATGTTACAGTAATGTTTCATGTCACAGTAATGTGTATATGTTACAGTAACGTGCATACGAGAGTAAATGAAAACGATTACGGCCTCATAGATATCGAAACAAAATTCGATTATTTTACTTAAGTGAAAAAAAACGTAATGCCGTACTTTTTTTCATGCCTTCATTATTCAAGACCCAAAATAAGGAAAGGTGAGGTGAGGTAAAATAAAGTTTTGCGTGGCGTTCAAGATTATTTCACCCATTTAACGACCTGCATGCATGCCTGCCTACCACGGAGGCGGTCGACTTAAGAGGAAGAAGCATTGCACCAAAAACGCAATACAATAATCGACATTTTAACATTTGGTTTCCCGTCTCACCGAGGGACTTTGTAAAGGTGTCATTTCACTCATGCAACAATCAAAACAAATAGCATCTTAATCATGCCACGAGATGAGACCAACCTGTTACCTGGTAATGTCACCTATATTATGGATAACAGTGCCTATATATTTCCTATGTACAGACCAACCTGTTACCTGGTAATGTCACCTATATTATGGATAACAATGACTATATATTTCCTATGTACAGAACAAACTGTTACCTGGTAATGTCACCTATATTATGGATAACAATGGCTATATATTTCCTATGTACAGACCAAACTGTTACCTGGTAATGTCACCTATATTATGGATAACAATGACTATATATTTCCTATGTACAGAACAAACTGTTACCTGGTAATGTCACCTATATTATGGATAACAATGACTATATATTTCCTATGTACAGAACAAACTGTTACCTGGTAAAATCACATATATTATGGATAACAATGCCTATATATTTCCTATGTACAGCTCCTGGCATCAAGATCAAGCATTCACCTTTAATCATCGGCAAGACGCATGGCTGTAAAGGCTTCGTCGGCTTCATGGACAATGTAAGATCTCCCTACAGTAAATGTATCTTCTTGCATGTACACCATCGTCAGAAGTACCTATAAACGAAACATATATTTTCTAGCTTATCCTTATAAACCATCGTCAACAGGAACAGGACACACTAGTTACTACAAACAGGTATTAACACATATAAGTCACTACAAACAGGTATTAATACACATTAGTCACTACAAACAGGTATTAACACACATTAGTCACTACAAACAGGTATTAATACACATTGGTCACTGCAAACAGGTATTAACACACATTAGTCACTACAAACAGTCATTAACATGCACGAGTCACTACAAACAGTCATTAACACACACTAGTTACTACAAACAATCATTAACACACACCAGTCACTACATAAAGTCATTAACACACACTAGTCACTACAAACAGGCATTAACACACACTAGTCACTACAAACAGGCATTTACACACACTAGTCACTACAAACAGGCATTAACATACACTAGTCACTACAAACAGTAATTAACACACACCAGTCTGTACAAACAGTCATTAACACAAATTAGTCACTACAAACAGTCATTAACCCAAATAAGTCACTACAAACAGGCATTAACACATACTAGTCACTACAAACAGGTATTAACACTCACTAGTCACTACAAACAGTAATTAACACACACTAGTCACAACAAACAGGCATTTACACACACTAGTCACTACAAACAGTAATTAACACACACTAGTCACTACAAACAGGCATTAACACACACTAGTCACTACAAACAGTAATTAACACACACTAGTCACTACAAACAGTCATTAACACAAATTAGTCACTACAAACAGTCATTAGCACAAATTAGTCACTACAAACAGGCATTAACACACACTAGTCACCACAAACAGGCAATGACACACACTAGTCACTACAAACAGGCAATAACACACACTAGTCACTACAAACAGGCAATAACACACACTAGTCACTACAAACAGGCAATAACACACACTAGTCACTACAAACAGTCATTAACACATACTAGTCACTACAAACAGGCATTAACACATACTAGTCACTACAAACAGTAGTTAACACACACCAGTCACTACAAACAGTCATTAACACAAATTAGTCACTACAAACAGTCATTAACACAAATTAATCACTACAAACAGGCATTAACACACACTAGTCACAACAAACAGGTATTAACACACACTAGTCACTACAAACAGTAATTAACACACACCAGTCACTACAAACAGTAATTAACACACACTAGTTACTACAAACAGTCATTAACACAAATTAATCACTACAAACAGGCATTAACACACACTAGTCACAACAAACAGGCATTAACACACACTAGTCACTACAAACAGTAATTAACACACACCAGTCACTACAAACAGTAATTAACACACACTAGTTACTACAAACAGTAATTAACACAGACTAGTTACTACAAACAGTCATTAACACACCCTAGTCACTGCAAACAGTAATTTACACACACTAGTTACTACAAACAATCATTAACACACACCAGTCACTACAATCAGTCATTACCACACACTAGTCACTACAAACAGGCATTAACACACACTAGTCACTACAAACAGTAATTAACACACACTAGTTACTACAAACAGGTATTAACACACACTAGTCACCACAAACAGGCAATAACACACACTAGTCACTACAAACAGGCAATAACACACACTAGTCACTACAAACAGGCAATAACACACACTAGTCACTACAAACAGGCAATAACACACACTAGTCACTACAAACAGGCAATAACACACACTAGTCACTACAAACAGGTATTAACACACACTAGTCACTACAAACAGGTATTCACAGTTTCACACACCCCACCCTTGGCACATCTAACGTGTACCGGCTACTGTGAAGACATGTACTTTGGTCTGATGAATGATAATGATGAAGACGTGGATGTAACAAAGTACATTCCGATTAGTGCTCTTTTTGGATTTGTCATAAAATTCTTTTTATTAGGCATTATTTTTTTTAACGTGACTGTTCGATTAGTTGTAGCGATACACATCATAAATCGTAGCATTCATTGTCCTCGTAAATATTTGCCTGTCAATAATGATTGAGTTGTTGTGTTGTGAGTCTATATACACACTGTAAAAGTAGTTTAAACCGCCAATGAATGATCACCGCTGTAAACAGAGAGACAAACAGACAGGGCAACGTGGTTGCATTATAATATTATTTAAGTTTCTGAACGTTTCGATCGGCAGTTTTCAAACTGTCACAGGGACATCGGACTTCCTCAAAGTGTTTGCGTGAAAATGTCTTTTAAACTTGAAATTTCCTTGATAAAAATAGGCCCAGTTCAATCTTATATACTATATTTAGAAAACTTATTTTTTTAAGAGAACCCGGTTGAGCTGGACATGCTTAACCTTTTCGCGAACACCTGTAGTCATCACTGATTTTCATTGATCTGTTCATATAAGTGTAATCACTATTTTGCCATTTACGTTCTAAGGAATCTGTTTCGGCGTATATTCGACAGTGATAATTTTCTGGAGTTTTTAACGTTTTTAACATGTATAAAGAGAGATATGTTTATAGTCGTGCCATTATTTTGTTATGCCGTTATTTACTATCATCTTGTGTATTCGGGCCATCTACACATGCTTGTCGTAACGAGCTGTTCACTACCTATCACACTTAGCTATCTGTGTTGCAGATCCGACTGACAAGATGTCCAGAACAGGTGGCCACGCCTCACATGTAACGTACAAATGACGGTTAACCTCGGATATTGGAAACCCTTTCCACGACGCTAACATCAAGCAGCGGCGGCGTTAAGAATGTTTCTCCACCCAGTGACATAACCTTTGTGCCAGTTGTTCACTGCTGCCACAGGGAGCTTTGCTCATACTGTGGTAGTGGCTTATTTTTCCAAGAACACCCCCTTTACAGTTTCAATAAATACACATATTTGTCTGGTATCGTCATTTTGTATTTGATCGAGGGGTCACTATAGCTCCGTGTCAGATCACAACTAGCACTGTGTCCGGTCACAACCAACCCCGTGTCAGATCACAGCTAGCACCGTCACAACCAACCCCGTGTCAAATCACAGCTAGCACCGTCACAACTAACTCCGTGTCAGGTCACAGCTAGCACCGTGTCACGTCACAACCAACCCCGTGTCAGATCACAGCTAGCACCGTCACAACAAACCCCGTGTCAGATCACAGCCAGCACCGTCACAACCAACCCCGTGTCAGATCACAGCTAGCACTGTGTCCGGTCACAACTAACTCCGTGTCAGGTCACAGCTAGCACCGTGTCACGTCACAACCAACCCCGTGTCAGATAACAGCTAGCACCGTCACAACAAACCCCGTGTCAGATCACAGCTAGCACCGTCACAACAAACCCCGTGTCAGATCACAGCTAGCACTGTGTCCGGTCACAACTAACTCCGCGTCAGATCACAGCTAGCACCGTCACAACAAACCCCGTGTCAGATCACAGCTAGCACTGTGTCCGGTCACAACCAACTCCGTGTCAGATCACAGCTAGCACCGTCACAACCAACCCCGTGTCAGATCACAGCTAGCACCGTCACAACCAACCCCGTGTCAGATCACAGCTAGCACCGTCACAACCAACCCCGTGTCACTTTTCAGCTAGCACCGTCACAACTTACTCCGTGTCAGGTCACAGCTAGCCTCGTGTCAGATCACACTACCCTCAGGGGCGGTCGGGTAGCCTAGTGGTTTAAGCGTTCGCTCGTCACGCCGAAGACCCGGGTTCGATTCCTGAAATGGGTACAATGTGTGAAGCCCATTTCTGGTGTCCCCCGCCGTGATATTGCTGGAATATTGCTAAAAGCGGCGTAAAACCATACTCACTCACTGCCCTTGTGTCACGTCACAGCTAGCATCGTGTCAGGTCACAGCTAGCACCGCGTCACGTCACAACCAACCCCGTGTCAGATGACAGCTAGCACCATGTCACGTCACAACTGACTCCGTGTCAGGTCACTGCTAGCCTCGTGTCAGATCACACTACCCTCGTGTCACGTCACAGCTAGCACCATGTCACGTCACAACTGACTCCGTGTCAGGTCACTGCTAGCCTCGTGCCAGATCACACTACCCTCGTGTCAGGTCACAGCTAGCACCATGTCACGTCACAACTGACTCCGTGTCAGGTCACTGCTAGCCTCGTGTCAGATCACACTACCCTCGTGTCAGGTCACGGCTAGCACCATGTCACGTCACAACTGACTCCGTGTCAGGTCACTGCTAGCCTCGTGTCAGATCACACTAGCCTCGTGTCAGGTCACAGGTAGCACCGTGTCACGTCACTGCTAGCCTCGTGTCAGATCACACTAGCCTCGTGTCACGTCACAGCTAGCACCGTGTCACGTCACAACATTTCTGGTGTCCCCCGCCGTGATATTGCTGGAATATTGCTAAAAGCGGCGTAAAACCATACTCACTCACTCACTGCCCTTGTGTCACGTCACAGCTAGCATCGTGTCAGGTCACAGCTAGCACCGCGTCACGTCACAACCAACCCCGTGTCAGATGACAGCTAGCACCATGTCACGTCACAACTGACTCCGTGTCAGGTCACTGCTAGCCTCGTGTCAGATCACACTACCCTGGTGTCACGTCACAGCTGCACCATGTCACGTCACAACCAGCACCGCGTCAGTTCACACCTAGCACCGTGTCAGATCACAACTAGCATGGTGTCACAATACACTTTTACAGGTATGATAATATCTATAAAACTTTATTCATGCAATAATTACACGTATAACAGAACAATCGTTTGCACAATAACGTACGGGTTATAAAGTATGCCTATGGCCATTAGATTCATAATCCATACTCAAATTCAGTTTTCTGATTGTCCGATTTGAACTGACATAAAGAGAAATATTTTTCAAGTTGTTGGACTCAAATGAGTGAACTGAACTATATGTCAGGGGACGTCACAATGTGAAACGCATGTATAGGCCATCAACATTCGGAATGTGTGCGGTGATAACAATTTTGATTAATTCATACTAATCGGCGAAGAATGGTTTAGTGAAGGCTTGACAAGGAACAGATAATCAATACTCCTCATCAACCCGTACCTGACTGTGTAAACTCAGGTGTGCCAAAGACAACAGAAAACGCACATGGTTAACAAGACCTGAAACGTAGAGTCTCATGACTCATTGATATGACTGAGTATGGATTTACGCCGCTTTTAACACTATTCCAGCAATATCACGGCGGGGGACATCAGAAATGGGCTTAATACATTGTACCCATGTCGGGAATCGAGCCTGGGTCTTCGGCGTGACGAGCGTACGCTTTAACCACTCGGCTACCCCGCCGCCCCTGATATGACTATGTTGTATCATCATTAAGAATGGTAAAAACAACAACATAAGTTCACCCTTTTCGCCATACTGTCGGCGATGTCAATGCATATATCTATTTATTAAAGGCACCATCGCAATAATAAACATGAGCAATTATGACATGTAGGATGGAGGTTCACTGCTTTAAAAAACAGATAACATAATTTGAAACAAGGATATAATTTAATACAATATATATTATGAAATACATTTAGATATTGTGCATTATCTACACATGTTGGAAACAATGCAAATACGCCCACATCAGAGAAACTAATTCATTAAAGTCTTAAACAGCGATGCATAGTAAGCATACAGCTTAAAGGTTACATTTTTGTCAAAAGATGTTCAGATGTAGGGGAGATGTAGATGTAGGGAACAATGAAATCCATTCATCCGAATTGTTCGGTGAGAAATCGTTCAGGTAACAAAATTCTGTACGTTCTGAACAGGACCGGGAGGTAAGACGAATATGAAAACCCTAAGGCACTGACATCGCTGAGGTTATTTGTATTGTTTGTGTTTTACAAACGTCCTGCGCTTTATAATCCTGACAGAGTGGAATCACACCGCACCCATGTGGAGAATCAAACCCGGGGCTTCGTCTTTGCGGCGAACGCTTAACCACTCGGCTACCTAACCACCCTATATAAAAGACATCGGCGAGAGTATAAAAAGGCATATATAATATGTGTCGTATGACAAATAAATGACACATCATTCATACAAAGAAGGCCAAGGATATATATGTGATGTATTTAACAGGATCTACAGTGTAAGAACGTTAAAACAAAACGAACGAGCAAGGCATGTTTGCAAAACGTGACTAAGAAAACGTCATGAAAGACACTTCGGTGATGCTTGCTTTTAACGTTACTGTGATGGTCTGCACAAGCATAAATTACACAATATTAGCATATAATATAAACACTGTAAAAACACGCACATTGTCACACACTGGACGGAACTGTATCAATAAGATGCCTAACGAAGAACAACCACTGGCAGTTATTATTACTGTGCGGCCATATAGGAATTACAAAGTGATCAAAACATAGTTGGGGCTCATGAATATTTTTGTGGATATCTTTTTGCAGTGATCAGATTGATCACACAATTACATAAAACTATCCTCTATATATTCGTGATCCTTAACCTGTTTGTTCAGTATAACTACGCAAATGCTGGCGTTCAATGCCTGGCGTTTACGTTGTGCAACAGGGTCAGTTGAAGGTCAAGTTTCCTGCAAACGTGATCACGTAGAAACAATGCAAAAATCAGAAATATAATTCCAGTATAAACACTCGTCACAAACATGTGTAATAACATCAATTGTAAAGTTCTAATGGATACGCTAGACCACACAGATTTAATTAATGTTTACGACTTCATCGTGCGTGATGAGTAGTAGAACAGTTGCTGATGTAACAGATACATGATGGACTTCTGATGGCAAATCTCCCGGGTGCGACTTTTGGCATTGACATCAACATACAGATGACTATGTGTGGCTCAGAGACGTTCCACCATTTCCAGAAACCCTCCGCTGATGTAACCGTCCTCCTTTTCGTTCTTGCCCGTGTCAATAGTTCCGTTGACCCTGTTCTCTTCCTCTTTCTTTTCCTTATCAAACATGCTCTCAAACGAAGTTTCAAAGCCACCGTTTTCTATGCCATTAGGCAGTGATACCGAGGACACAGTATTCTTGGTCAGGTTGGTCTGAGAGTTGATGTTGTACAGCTTCTTCTTCTGTTTCGGCTTGTACTTGTACCAGTAGCACTCCAGGGCCAGCGTGATGAGAGCCAGGCCGGAGCCGATGACGATGACGAGGAACACACCGCCGATGTTCTTGATGCTGATGCCGTCGCTCTCGTTCTCGATCTTTGGGCACTCTTTTTGATCCTTTCTCCACCATTTGGTCTTCATTTCTTCCAGTTCCCTCTGGTTGATCAGTTGGAGGATGCTGTGAAAAGAGGGATGGAGGTCTTTCATTGTGCAAATAAAACACGAGTTTTACCAGTCTTTTCCATTATATGTGGCTTTTCTGGGATTTTATGAGAGGGTATTTTTGTCAGTCACTGCTACAAAACAACAAAGTTTTTTCCTGTGAAAGGAGGAACCGAAGATTATCAGGACAGGTTATTAGTTTTGTTTTGTTTTGTTGTTGTTTAACGCCGCACTCAGCAATATTCCAGGTATATGAAGGCGGTCTGTCTTGACCAGACAATCCAGTGATACAATGACATGCATCGACCAAGCCAGCGAGTTTGACTACCCGATTCCGTTAGTCGCCTCTTCCGACAAGCAAAGTCGCCTTTTACGGCAAGCATGGATTGCTGAAGACCTACATGTATTCTACCCCGGATCTTCACGGGTCGATTATTAGTTCATTACGATTTTAAATAGTGTATGACAAGAAAATGTAACACTATGTATAGGTTTGTATCAATGGATATCGTCCAGCGAGAGAATATCGTGGGTTTTTAGGGCGCTTTCAGCATTATTCCAGCTTTACCACAGCGAGGTACTCCAAAAGTGGCTTCACTCATTGAACTCTTGTAGGCAACTGAAACATATTGACCAGTGAAATACAATGTTTTGTTTGTTTGTTGCTTAACGCACACTCAGCAATTTTTCAGCTATATGACGGGGGGTCTTCAAAAACATCGAGTATGGACCAGACAATCAAGTGACTACCATCATGAACATCGATCCACATAATTGGAATGCTATGACATGCAATGGACCAAGTCACAGAGCCTGACCACCCGATCCATTAGGTCGCCTCTTACGACAAGCATAGGTATCTGGGACTATATTCTTATCCGGAATCCCCACAGGTCAGTGAAATAAAGAGCTTTTATAAGTAATCGTACATATTAGACAGCTGACTTCGGAGAGGCGACCCCTCCTGTACCGCCAGGGCATAGGGCTTCCTGGAGAACTCCTCTCCCACCTCCCACAGGTCGCAGTTCGTCAGGGTAGAGTACTTGTTGACGGTGGCATCCGCTGAAAGCGACACAACAACGCTACATTACCATGATAACTTCGGATCGACAATTCTTTTATCAATCTATTTAAAACTGCAGAGGGTGACTTTTTTACGCTGTAGCAAATTTCCAGGGAAAACACTACTGAGAACATTACACATTGTCCCCATTTGGGGAATAGAAAATCGAGTCCTCGGCTTGACAAGGCGATGATATAACCCACCAGAGTATCGCCAACCCGTTAAAGAAGAGAAAACTTCATGTATGAGGAATCGAACCAGGGTTTACGATGTTACGAGCTAAAGGCTTTTTACCACGAGACTACTTAAAGATTAACATATGAAAGCGAATGCCACTTAACGGAAACCAATGAAAACTTAAGGCTAATGTATGAAAGGGATTAACGCGTAGAGACACACCTATAAAAGCAAGTTGAACTTGAACCTCTGAAACCTAGTAAAGCTTGTGAGTACAAGTTAAAGACAAACCTAAACAAGCAAGTACGATTTTAGGGCTAACTTTGAAAAGTCAGGCAAAAAGACTAACCAATGAAAGCAAACTCTCCAGTCAGGACTCTTTCGACAGCCTCTTTCTTGTTACTCGGGAACAGGGACGTCTTCATCGTTTCCCACAGCTTGGTGTACTTGTCGCTAACCGGGTAGTCCCACACTGCAAGCTTGGCCCGTGACACCACGTCCAGGTTGTCATCTAGGGACATGTCTTTCCATATGCTGACAGACGAAAGTATACCATTAGTTGCAACTTACATACATTAGCAATACCAACATCTTCATCCGAGTGTATACCGTTAGTTGCAACATACATACATTAGCAATACCAGCATTTTAATCCAAATGTATACCGTTAGTTCCAACTTACATACATTAGCAGTACCAGCATCTTCATCCGAATGTATACCGTTAGTTGAAACTTACATACATTAGCGATACCAGCATCTCCATCCGAATGTAAACCGTTAGTTGCAACTTACATACATTAGCAATACCAGCATCTTCATCCGAATGTATGCCGTTAGTTCCAACTTGCATACATGAGCAATACCAGCATCTTCATTCGAATGTATACCGTTAGTTGCAACGTACATACATTAGCAATACCAGCATCTTCATCCGAATGTATGCCGTTAGTTCCAACTTGCATACATGAGCAATACCAGCATCTTCATTCGAATGTATACCGTTAGTTGCAACGTACATACATAAGAAATATCAGCATCTTCATCCGAATGTATACCGTTAGTTGCAACTTACATTCATTAGCAATACCAACATCATTATTAAAACGTATTCCGTTATCAGTAGAGAGTCCCATAAACTACCAATACTTACATCTTCAGCAGATTGTACACCGGTATTACCACAGAGAAACATACCAGCAATACCTACATCTTCCCGTGAATGTATCCTTGTTACCTTAGAGGCCTACAGACGAGCAATACACACATCTTCAGCTGGTTGTATACCGTTATTAGAACAAAGACTTATACACACACAATACTTACATATTCAGGTGATTTCATTGTTATTACCACAGATACCCATACACTAGCAATACTTACAAAAACTCATCAGCTGCAGCTTGTCCAACTGACATAAATCATCAACACCACGGTTTATACACCAGCAATACTTACATCCTTAAGGTTCATACACTGGCAATGCCTCAGCAGAATTAGATTTTTATACGTTTGTTCATAACCAAATACAATTATTATGATATTTGTAGCCAATTATCGCTTGTCCTCTTACCCGTAGAACTTGTTTTCAATATCCGCCATTCGCTGGAAGTAGATTTGAGCGTTGCTGCCATTCATAGGAGCGTACTTGACCTTGAACTGTTTCGAGAGGTCATCGAGTGACTCTATTGGTGTTTCCAGACGAGACACGGTGAGGAAGGCGGCCAGATTGGCAGTGTATGTAGCTATGATGATGAAACCAAAAAGCCACCAGGTGGCAGCAATCAGTCTCCCTGACAACGCACGTGGAGTCTCTCCTCCCCCTGAAGACCAACAAAGTGTTTAAAACGTATCATTAGAGATATTATACCAGAGAAAGACCTGGGACTAAATTGCACAGTATTAGTGTCAGTATTTGAGGCGCTATTTACTATTTTGATTACTTTTAGGAAATAAACCTGAAACACGTCCAATTTTAATTCTGGAAACCAATTTGTCCAGAAACTCTCGGTGCTGTAGTCAGTCTCGGACAAAGGTATTTACAAAGTTAAACATGCTATGTTCATAGGTATTACTAAGGAAGGAAAAATGGAAAACAAATGTTTCGAAAACTGAAACTTTAAACTTTGTCGCCCATGGGTAGGGTCATGGGCGAGAATATTTTCCTTTGCTCAAAATTCATGTTTTTGCTTTGCAAGGCCATAAACGTGTATCGTGACACATATTTTAACTCATGTTAACTTAATTCAACTATTCTATAGCGTTATAGAAATAATTCACCCATTGGCGAGAATGTGTTCCTTCGCTCAAAACCCATGTTTCGTTTTGGAAAATACAAAGAGGTGTGTCATGTATCATGTCACATAATTCAATTCATTTTAACTTAATTCAACTAAGTATATTAATATTTGTCTGTTCTTTTTAAAATTTGAAATTGACAATCTGACTTGAGTAAAAGCAAATTATTATTATGCCATACATTTTTATGTTTACCGTGTAAAAGTACACTTAAATGGTGTTAACAACAGCCTGCACCTACCCTGAAAAATGAGAACATCTGACACAACAAGAACCTACCCCGAAGAATGAGAACATCTGACACAACAAGAACCTACCCTGAAAAATGGGAACATCTGACACAACCTGAACCTACCCCGAAGAATGAGAACATCTGACACAACCAGAACCTACCCTGGAGAATGGGAACATCTGACACGACCAGAACCTACCCTGAAGAATGAGAACATCTAACGCAACCAGAACCTACCCTGAAGAATGAGAACATCTAACGCAACCGGAATCTACCCTGAAGAATGGGAACATCTGACACAACCTGAACCTACCCTGAAGAATGGGAACATCTGACACGACCAGAACCTACCCTGAAGAATGAGAACATCTAACGCAACCAGAACCTACCCTGAAGAATGGGAACATCTGACACGACCAGACCCTACCCTGAAGAATGAGAACATCTGACACAACCAGAACCTACCCTGAAGAATGGGAACATCTGACACAACCACAATCTACCCTGAAGAATGAGAACATCTGACACAACCAGAATCTACCCTGAAGAATGAGAACATCTGACACAACCAGAACCTACCCTGAAGAATGAGAACATCTGACACAACCAGAACCTACCCTGAAGAATGGGAACATCTGACACAACCAGAATCTACCCTGGAGAATGAGAACATCTGACACAACCAGAACCTACCCTGAAGAATGGGAACATCTGACACAACCTGAACTTACCCTGAAGAATGGGAACATCTGACACAACCAGAATCTACCCTGAAGAATGAGAACATCTGACACAACCAGGACCTACCCTGAAGAATGGGAACATCTGACACAACCAGAACCTACCCTGAAGAATGAGGACATCTGACACAACCAGAACCTACCCTGAAGAATGAGAACATCTGACACAACCAGGACCTACCCTGAAGAATGAGAACATCTGACACAACCAGGACCTACCCTGAAGAATGAGAACATCTGACACAACCTGAACCTACCCTGAAGAATGAGAACATCTAACACAACCGGAATCTACCCTGAAGAATGGGAACATCTGACACGACCAGAACCTACCCTGAAGAATGGGAACATCTGACACAACCAGAACTTACCCTGAAGAATGAGAACATTTGACACAACCAGAATCTACCTTGAAGAATGAGAACATCTGACACAACCTGAACTTACCCTGAAGAATGAGAACATTTGACACAACCAGAACCTACCCTGAAGAATGAGAACATCTAACGCAACCAGAACCTACCCTGAAGAATGGGAACATCTGACACGACCAGACCCTACCCTGAAGAATGAGAACATCTGACACAACCAGAACCTACCCTGAAGAATGGGAACATCTGACACAACCACAATCTACCCTGAAGAATGAGAACATCTGACACAACCAGAATCTACCCTGAAGAATGAGAACATCTGACACAACCAGAACCTACCCTGAAGAATGAGAACATCTGACACAACCAGAACCTACCCTGAAGAATGGGAACATCTGACACAACCAGAATCTACCCTGGAGAATGAGAACATCTGACACAACCAGAACCTACCCTGAAGAATGGGAACATCTGACACAACCTGAACTTACCCTGAAGAATGGGAACATCTGACACAACCAGAACCTACCCTGAAGAATGAGAACATCTGACACAACCAGGACCTACCCTGAAGAATGAGAACATCTGACACAACCAGGACCTACCCTGAAGAATGAGAACATCTGACACAACCTGAACCTACCCTGAAGAATGAGAACATCTAACACAACCGGAATCTACCCTGAAGAATGGGAACATCTGACACGACCAGAACCTACCCTGAAGAATGGGAACATCTGACACAACCAGAACTTACCCTGAAGAATGAGAACATTTGACACAACCAGAATCTACCTTGAAGAATGAGAACATCTGACACAACCTGAACTTACCCTGAAGAATGAGAACATTTGACACAACCAGAACTTACCCTGGGGCGTGAGTGACATCATACAGAACCAGATGCCTTCCTTCAAGGAGAACACTCGCGGCTCCGGGCCCTCCCCGTTCCATTCTCTCTTGCTGTTTTGGTAGCTGAAGGGACTAAGTTTGTCAAAGACGCAGATGAGGATGCTGAAGAGGAAGAAGGCCCCGATGATGCAGCCCCACACATCCTCGTCCAGGACGCTGAGGAACTTGACCAGGGAGTAATCAAAGCTGGGCTTCCTCATCAGAATGGTCAAGCCTACCAGATCATAGTAGGGAACGGTGAAGTCCACGACATTCTCCCGCTCTGCCATCACAGAGATTGGACCCACTGCTATGTCAGCTCTCTGAAAAATAAACAAAAGCATGTTAGTATCGTATCATGAACTTTATTCACTGTTAGATATTAAGCAACCTTGGCATCATATCTGTAGATGTCAGACGTTTTACATTATAAATGACCTCAGGACCTCAAGTTTCCTTGTGTTGGAATATGATTTTACTGAATGTTCAAACTGGACCCTACTTTACCTTCAAATTTTCTGCCTTCAGAAGGTAAACATAGAATGGTCGTTCCCTCGCCCGGGCCTATATAAATCATCAAGTCATCTTTGCATTTCATGTATTTATATCTTTGTATTTCTCCACATTGCCTGAAGCCAGCAATGTATTCTTTTTTCATACTTGTCGACGTAAGGAGACTGCGAGCGGTTATATTCAGCAGTGAACTTGTTCAATAGAGCTTTACATAGTACATCTTAACTGGTATTTTCTTTCAGTTCGTGCTGGTATTGTACATATGCTGCAGACGCTGGTAAGTTATAGCCGCTCACAGTCACCTGACAGCCGAGTTTAACCCGAATCGTATCCACGTGATCAAAACTCAAGGATGATGTTTATCGTTCACAAATGGATATTTCTTGAAAAGTGCACTTTTTGTAATTACTGTAAGTAATATTCCTATTACCGGAACGACTTGTTTTCACTCTATATATTTTACCATACACGCAGTTCTCTTTGTTAATTAATCATCGCAATATATCGAGATCCCATTTCAAGTGGCAAGGACTATAGTGCATGTCCTGTTGCCATCATCGAGACTATTATGTAACTGTGAGCAATTCTAAAAGCTGTTTGTAACATGTCTTTGAAAGGCATTTAGAAGTGATACACATAAGGAAAATTTATGGATGTCAACTTCTTTATTATGAATAAGTACATACTCCGAAACGTTGTGTTCCTCATATTAAAGAAGTTGACATCCATAAATTCTAAAGTGCAATCTGATTTTTAGCCAATCTGATCCTAACGACAAAGCTACGCGAGACTGCATATTAGTGAATTCAAGACATCGACTTCGAAAAGCTTCCAGATTCAAAAGGGCGAAAATGGCGAAATAGTGATGAAACTTATAGGAATTAATCAGTGGGGACATCATGATTTATGTGCTTGCACATATCACAATTTCCATTAAACACGTAAGTGCCATTGAGCAAGGAGGTTTGAAAACTCCATGTAATGGCCATAGTTTGGGATAGTGTCACGCATCATGTTAACAAGCGACGTGTCATGTTTAGTGAAAGTCACTGAAGTTTACATAACATTTCTGGAATTATTTAACCAGGCCTTTGATGGTGAAAACGTGATTGAAATTATTGAAAACTTGTAATCAAAATGAAATTTGATAAACATAAATGCTCTAAAGCACATCAACCAATTGCGAAATACAGACGCCATAAGCTGGCGCTAACGTCCATTGCTGAAAGGATAGGACAGGATTGCGTTTAAATCTGAAGCTTTTGATCTTTGCTTTTTATCAAGTGTGTACTTCTAATTGATCGAAACAATGCAACTTGTCCCCACGTCACCTTCTGAATGAGTTCGTTGATGAGTCCACTCCAGCTACCATCAGAAGCCATGGAGCCCACCAAGCCGTCAGGGCTGTCGTATATCTCATACGTAAAGCTCATCCGTTCGGCAATCTTGTCCAGCAGCTCAATACAGTAGCCGGAGTATGTGGGTTTAGTGCCGTTCTCGCCCCCCTCCTTGTACACAAACGGGTGCATCTGGAACATAAATATGCAAGAAATGTCCAAAAAGGCCTCATGTGTACACGAAAAACAACCTCTTTGTCCACCTATTGCAAAGGTTGCATTCACAATAATAATCATAGTAATAATAATAACATGGCAAATATGCAGCCCTCTCTTTTGAAATGTCACCCTTGCATCTCAAGTACCAGGTTGTCCGACTCCCCATTGTTCTCGGAGCCTTCAGTTTGGTAGCTCCCAATCTGTTGACTGACATTGGGAGAGTACCCGGATTTGCTACCAGGAATATAGCCCTTCTGACAATCTGGGTAATGCAGAAGGCTGCAGTGCTGGGGAGTCTTCACATTCTCCGAAACGTTCTGGGTGGGTTTGGCAAGGCAGCGCTTCCCAGTCGCTGTCTGGGCTGCGTATAGAGGGGACAAGGGCCCAGGGCCCAGGGCCCAGGGCTGATGATGAGCCTAACCAGCCTGACTGTGCCAGGATCACCCAAACCCTCTTTGCTGCATTTTTGTATTTTAATCTGTACATCATAACAACAAAAACAACAACAACAACAACAACAACCATTGCTATAATTTTGTTATGGGTATAAACAGCTAACTACCGATATAACCAAGTCGGTTGAAGGAAAGAACCAACCCGATCACCGTCAGGCGAGTAACGGGATCGGGTGGTCAGGCTCGCTGACTTGGTTGATGCAAGTCATCGTATCCCAATTGTGTTGATCGATGCTCATGATGTCAAACACTGGATTGTCTGGTCCAGACTCGATCATTGACAGATCACCATCATTTTGCTGGAAGATTGCTGATTGTGGCGTTAAACAACAATAGCTTTAAATGCCAAATGATGCGAGAAGTATTTATGACACAAGTATGCTTAAAGCGCTAAACCATTATGACCCCGGTCAATGAATCAGTGTGCTCTTAAATGTCATTTCTCAGCTCCAAGGGGAGTACACAACCCGAGCTGCCTGTGTCATCCCAGACATACCTATATTATTGGAATTTAACTCAAGGGGCACAAATGTGCATACAGGACTAATAAAATGCATTCCCAGGATCGGCTTCGCCGGGTGTTTCTTCTCTTGTGAATGAAAGCTTTTAAGCTACCCCCAACATCACGTTAGACTAACGCGCCCGGATATTGCTGGAAGCGGCGTTATATCAAATACACTCACTCACTCATCGTGATGGTAACTTACGCCTGGTACAGTGACGGCCCTGTAGTGTCTTTTGCTATTGGATTTGGTCAGGGACTGCACACTGAGGGACAGACCAGTCTGCTCCGTCCAGTTGCCGACCTGAAGAGTACAACATGGAGTTTTCATCATAAATAGAGGTGGGGAGCTGATGTTACCCTGTAGCATATTATCAGGGTAACGCCCGAGGTCTTCCATTCACTGCCCGACGAAGGAGGGCAGTTGAAAAGACCGAGGGCTTCTGCTAATGATAATGCCCGGAAGCGTTACCGTTATTATAGCTAAAATGGATGGAATTTGTTATCAAATAAAATATCGGTTTTGAAACATTTACTGCAATCAACACGAATGTCACTGACCCTTTTTTACAAAAATGGAAACGCCACAGAACAAACCAGATAACGTCACTATTCAACGTGACGTCACCTATACCTATACTATGACATTACCTTACACCGGGCGTGATAATGGCTCGCCGTCAAGCAATATGAGGACATTACCAAGTTACGGTAGCCCGCTCATCTCTGATAATATGCAGGCGGTTTAATGATAAATATATCCATTTTAGCTATGATAGCTGTTATACACACATCAGCTATAACAGCTGTCAAAGCTAATGGAGACACGAAAGGACATGTTAATATGAATACACAATGCCATTTAGAAAGTAGTCAAATGTAACAAATGTTATATTTGGGATAACACTTTCTCAGTTGTCTGACTTTCTTTTTTGTGGAAGCCTCGGTGGCTGAGTGGGTTAGATCGCTGACTTTGTGTGCTGGGGATTAGGTGCCTCACTCTGGCAAGTGTGGGTTCGAATCCCGGACCGGACTCAACCCCCCAAAAGTACTGTACTTTACTAAGAAAGTTTTATCCCATATATAACATTTGTGACATGTTAATAGTTAATAGCATGTAGGATTACAGCGTACTCTTTCTTTCCAAACGTAGTATTTTTTCAAAAAAGTATATACCTCATATCTTTCGCTTGTCAATAGGATTACATAGCACTTCTTTCTATCCAAACATGATATATTTTCATACAAGTATATACTTTAATCTTGTGTGTACCTTAATTATTCACCTCTAAATGTTTATACTTTATTTTCTTCATATCCGGTTACACTGACCATATTCTTCCTAATGTTGGTGTATGTTGGCCATATTCTTGCTGTGCTAGACTCACCATGTTCTTGCCTTGCTAGACTCATCATGTTCTTGCTGTGCTGAACTCACCATGTTCTTGCTGTGCTAGACTCATCATGTTCTTGATGTGATAGACTCACCATGTTCTTGCTGTGCTAAACTCACCATATTCTCGCTGTGCTAGACTCATCATGTTCTTGATGTTGTAGGCTCACAGCATTCTTGCTGTGCTAGACTCTCCATGTTCAGGCTGTGCCAGAGTCACCATGTTCCTGCTGTGCTAGACTCGCCATGTTCTTGCTGTGCTAGACTCACCATGTTCTTGCTGTGCTAGACTCGCCATGTTCTTGCTGTGCTAGACTCACCGTGTGCTTGCTGTGCTAGACTCACCATGTTCTTGTTTCTGACCAAGATCTTACTGATCTTGCTGCGTTACACTGTAGTACACTGACAATGTTCTTATTGAATAATTCTGACCTTGATCCAACTGAAGTCTACTGACTATATTCTGCTGTATTATACTGACCATGTTCTTGTTTTGGTCGTCCCCTCCTTCAAAGCCAATCTTGTTGATTTTCAGAGAGAAGTTATAGCGGAGAATGCCTTGTTGAAGGGACATTGCCCCAAACACTCCATTCCATGATATCTAGATGAAACAACATTTTACTGTTACATACACGATCAAATGTGTGTAAATTTGAATCTGTATCGACAAATTAAATCTACGAAATTTCCGAATTTCTTAGTTTGGGAGGTAAACCTAGAGGTTGTTACACCTTGGTGAGACGGGTATGGTGCAGACAGACCTAGAGACCAAGGGATTCGAACCCACGAATGTAGGTTTCTGGCACGCCTAAGGGACGTAACTCTCCGGGGAAGTCCTTAGATGACTCTGCCACCCGTGTTCGTATATAGTGAACTATGTGTTACTATTATACAATGACTACTATACAATTTCCAAATACCTCAAGCAAAATAGTGACTAATTAGATGCATGAAGGCTTTTCCACAGTCCGCAAATAGTCTAATTTGTAGTCGCATTTAGTGGCGGTAAATACGTTGCATGCTTGCAAAGCTCAGAATAATGTCCCATGCATGTATTCTAAAAGTGATGTTATGTTTGCCGAAACGTGCCCTTATCGTTACATTAACGCAAGTTTGTATGCTGATACCACTACATTATTTTTACCCTGCACAAATGCATTAGTGTGCTCTCAAATGTCATTCTCAGCTCCCTGGGGACTATACATGAGATTGATCTACTAAAAAGCCAATGGCCCTGTCAGGGAATGTATGTACATCTACAAATGAATACAAAATGCGACTTGCAATGGAGTTACGAACGGCTTGATTGATTACTAGTGAATGAGTGAGTGAGTATGGTTTTACGCCGCTTTTAGCAATATTCCAGCGATATCACGTCGGGGGACACCAGAAATGGGTTCACACATTGTATTCATGTCGGGAATCGAACCCGGGTCTTCGGCGTGACGAGCGAACGCTTTAACCACAAGGCTACTCGACCGCCCTGGTTGATTACTAAGATGGCAATACCTCTTTAAGAGCTTGAGTGATGTTCTGGCTCTGTTGCAAGTCTGTGACCTTCGGCTCGGAAACATTGTAGCAGTCAGTGTAGTTGATGGACCGGAGGTCGGGGAACTTGGACAGAGCCTTCTTCGTGATCATGCCAATGTCATATACGAGCGCTTCGTCTACCTGAATAAGTGATCGCATTACTTAGTTACCATGGGTGTTTGTTGTTTGTAAAACCAGAGTAAGCAATAGCATCCGCCATATGACATTGAATTTTAAGCAACTGACCTGACAGTTCAGTAATACATATTATGGGCCATGATCAAGACCGTCGGGCTACGATGACTCACAATCAACCAGGTCACCCAGCCTAACCATCTAATCCATTAAGTCGCTCCGGCGACAAGCACAGGTTGGGGGGGGGGGGGGGGGGGGGGCTGGAATCCACACGGACTTTCATAGCATTCATGGACTTTTCGGCAAATGCTAACATTTAGAATAAGTGAGTCACATAGAAGTGATGAATTTCAAATAAACTGGAAGAATCAAATCAAAATTTAAGTGTTTCATAAATGGATATTACAATTGAACTAATCAATCATTGTTATTTAACAAGAAACACATGAATCGTTGCAATATTATATTTTAACTAATCACTATTGTTTATTATATTACAAGCAACACATGAAACGTTGTAATATCATAATTTAACTTATCAATGTTGTTTTATAACAAGTAACATAATGATCATTGAAGTGTTACAATGTAACCAATCAATACTGTAATATTACAGATAACAAATGAAACGCTGCAATATTACAATTTAAAAAATCCATATTGTATTATATGAAGTTACACATGAATCGTTGCAATATCACAATCTAACTAATCAATATTGTATTATGAGAGGTAATATATGAATCTGCATTTTTACGAATGTAAATATTACAAGTGACACATGAATCGTTGTGATATTACAATTTAACTAATCAATCAGTATAATTTAACAAGTAACACGTGAATCGTTGCAATATTACTAATCGAATTCAATATGAATCATTCCAATATCAAAAAGAAACTTTGAATAAAAGCGACATATTTTTCCAATAATCATACGAAATCTCAAGCAAAAGCAGAGTCCATTGTACGATTCCGACTACATTATAAGCATGTGTACATGAATCACTACCAAATAGCAATGGTTATATTAAATAGTAACTCTATCGTCATTGCAGTATAAAACTGTAACTCATGATCAATGCCATGTTACGGGCAACCCATGGATCATTGCGAAATCAGAATGTTATAACACTTGAGTCATTGCAATATTACAACGGAACTCTTGAACAATTGTTATATCACAAAGTATCTAATCAGGAATTGAAATATTAAAATGTGACTCATGAATTATTCCAATATTACAATTTAACTCATGAATCATTCTAAAGTTACATTGTAAATCATAAGTGAGTGAGTGAGCTGGGTTTGACACCGCTTTTAACAGTTATTACAATTATATCACGGCGTGTCAGCTCAGTATAAGGGGAAAGACCGAAGTGATGCAGATCTCAGACGTTTACCACTTCGGTGAAACCTACGAGCACGTGGTGACAAACTTAGAAACATAATCGGGGCGAACCGGGACTCGAATCCACAAAAATAGGTTTCTGCATTGCGAATCGTGGCGCCTTAGACGAATAGGCCACCCGTGCCCCTTTGTAAATCATGAGTTATTGCAATCCATGTATTAAATTGTAACTCGTGTATTATTGCAATCCAAGTAGAATATTGAAACTAGTGAATTATTCGAACATATGTATTGAATTGTAACTCGTGTGTTATTGCAACACATGTATTAGATTATAACTCATGAATTATTGCAATACAAATAGAATATTGAAACTAGTGAATTATCGGAACATATGTATTGAATTGAAACCCGTGTGTTATTGCAACACATGTATTAGATTATAACTCATGAATTATTGCAATACAAGTAGAATATTGAAACTAGTGAATTATCGGAACATATGTATTGTTTGTAACGCATACATTATTACAAGCCAAGTATTATATTGCAACTCGTGAGTTATTGCAACACATGTATTGCATTGTAACTCACGAGTTATTGCAACACATGTCTTACATTCTTACTCGTGAGTTGTTGCAACCCATGTATTACATTGTAACTCGTGAGTTACTGCAACACATGTCTTACATTCTTACTCGTGAGTTGTTGCAACCCATGTATTACATTGTAACTCGTGAGTTACTGCAACACATGTATTACATTGTAACTCGCGAACTATTGCAACACATGTATTACATTGCAACTCGTGAGTTGTTGCAACACATGTATTACATTGTTACTCACGAATTATTGAAACACATGCATTACACTGGTGAATTATTGCAACCCATGTTTTGAATTGTGACTCAAGAATGATTGCAACACACATGTATTACACAGTAACTCGTAAACTATTTCAACATATGTATTACATTGTAACTCACGAATTATTGCAACACATGAGTTATTGCAAAGGAACCATGCAATCATATCCGCACATATAACACATATATGATTACTTACCTTCATGGAGGTCCTTTGGAGACCCAAGAACTCCTCATAGTACACGCTATCAGCAGGGTAATCCGAACTGGCAACGATCTCGTTGACCACTATTGCTTTCTGACACTCCCCACACACCAGCGTGTAGTCCTGAAACAGTGGTGGGAAACGCGATGTGTGAGTGAGTGAGTATGGATTTACGCCGCTTTTAGCACTATTCTAGCAATATCAAGGCGCGATGAAGGTAACTGTGAAAGTGTAGCATGGTGACGGTAACAGTGAAGGGGTGGCATGGTGACGGTAACAGTGAAAGTGTAGCATGGTAAAGGTAACGGTGAACGGTTGTCATGGTGAAGGTAAGAGTGAAAGTGTGTTATGGTGAAGATAACAGTGCGAGTGTGGCATGGTGAAGGTAACAGTGCAAGTGAAGCGTGGAAATGGTAACGATGAGGAGTTGGCATGGTGACGGTAACAGTGAAAGTGTGGCATGGTGACGGTAACAGTGAAAAGTGTAGCATGGTAAAGGTAACGGTGAACGGTTGGCATGGTGACGGTAACAGTGAAAGTGTAGCATGGTAAAGGTAACGGTGAACGGTTGTCATGGTGAAGGTAAGAGTGAAAGTGTGTTATGGTGAAGATAACAGTGCGAGTGTGGCATGGTGAAGGTAACAGTGCAAGTGAAGCGTGGAAATGGTAACGATGAGGAGTTGGCATGGTGACGGTAACAGTGAAAGTGTGGCATGGTGACGGTAACAGTGAAAAGTGTAGCATGGTAAAGGTAACGGTGAACGGTTGGCATGGTGACGGTAACAGTGAAAGTGTAGCATGGTAAAGTTGACGGTGAATGGTTGGCATGGTTAAGGTAACAGTGAAAGTGTGGCATGGTGACAGTAAAAGTGAACGGGTGGCATGGTGACAGAAACAGTGAAAGTGTAGCATGGTAAAGGTAACGGTGAACGGTTGTCATGGTGAAGGTAACAGTGAACGGGTGGCATGGTGACGGTAACAGTGAAAGTGTGGCATGGTGAAGGTAACAGTGAAGGGTTGGCGTGGTGATGGTAACAGTGACAGTGTAGCATGGTGACGGTAACAGTGAACAGTTGGCATGGTGACGGTAACAGTGAACAGTTGGCATGGTGACGGTAACAGTGAAGGGTTGGCATGGTGACGGAAACAGTGAACAGTTTGCATGGTGACGGTAACTGTGACAGTGTAGCATGGTTAAGGTAACAATGAAAGTGTAGGATGGTGACGGAAACAGTTCACAGTTGGCATGGTAAAGGTAACAGTGAAAGTGTAGCATGGTTAAGGTAACAGTGAACGGGTGGCATGGTTAAGGTAACAGTGAAAGTGTAGCATGGTTAAGGTAACAGTGAAAGTGTAGCATGGTGAAGGTAACAGTGAAAGTGTAGCATGGTTAAGGTAACAGTGAACGGGTGGCATGGTTAAGGTAACAGTGAAAGTGTAGCATGGTTAAGGTAACAGTGAAAGTGTAGCATGGTGAAGGTAACAGTGAAAGTGTAGCATGGTTAAGGTAACAGTGAAAGTGTAGCATGGTTAAGGTAACAGTGAAAGTGTAGCATGGTTAAGGTAACAGTGAAAGTGTAGCATGGTTAAGGTAACAGTGAAAGTGTAGCATGGTGAAGGTAACAGTGAAAGTGTAGCATGGTTAAGGTAACAGTGAAAGTGTAGCATGGTTAAGGTAACAGTGAAAGTGTTGCATGGTGAAGGTAACATGAACGGGTGGCATGGTGACGGGGACAGTGAATAGTTGCATGTCAGATATAACGGTGAAAGTATGAAGTGTAAACCTTTAATTCTAGGGAAAGTAATATGTGAATACATTTATAACTTTCCCTAGCATTAAAGGATTAAATTATATACTTTATATATACATTGTCAGATATTTGAACATAGATAGTTTGCAAGTATGCTTAAGTTGTGATCTCCATTTCATCTTCAGTTTTTCCAATCTTACACAGAGATGAATTTTTTGTGACAATTCGGTTGCAAGTTCAAGAGTATTGGGGGAGTAGCCTAGTCGTTAATGCGTTCACTCGTCACGCCGAAGGCCAGGGTTCAATTCCCCACTGGTTACAATGTATTGAACCAATTTCTGGTGTCCCTCGCTGATATTGATGGAATATTTCTAAAACACGCTAACTCACTCACACGAGAGTGCGTGGAAACATATTTCCTCGTCTTCCTAGTAGATTATAAAGTGATCAATATTTTTTTATAACATGCATTATAAAACGTTTATTCACAAGCAACAGATTGATTTATATTTGTCCTGGAGTTTTAGATGTCGGGGACATTTCACAAAAGCTCTTTGTCAATATGCCTTCTGTGTGGATCTGAGGCAGGGTAGAGATGATGGATGACGCAGGCTTCTGGTGCCAGGAAATATGTATGAGCCCAGCCATGGCATTGCCTTCCTCGCCATATGAGAGAACTATTAATCATATATAACTCGACATACATTAGGCGAGATGCAATTTTCAAGTGTGCTTTCCAATTGGAAAGAATGTTTGTAAAAACGCGTCCTTAAAGGAAGACTTATAACTATTTGTGGTATCCGTGGAGGTACAGTATGGCCGATAACTGCATGTTCATGCATGCAGTCAGATATGGCCTTCTTCGACATGTGGTATACACGGAGGAGGATCGTGGCCTTCAACTACATGTGGAATGGATGAAGGCAGATGGTGGCCTTCTTCGACATGTGGTATACACGGAGGAGGATCGTGGCCTTCAACTACATGTGGAATGGATGAAGGCAGATGGTGGCCTTCTACTACATGTGGAATGGATGAAGGTAGATGGTGGCCTCTCTACTACATGTGGAATGCATGAAGGCAGATGGTGGCCTCTCTACTACATGTGGAATGGATGAAGGCAGATGGTGGCCTCTCTACTACATGTGGAATGGATGAAGACAGATGGTGGCCTTCTACTGCATGTGGAATGGATGAAAGCAGATGGTGGCCTCTCTACTACATGTGGAATGGATGAAGGCAGATGGTGGCCTCTCTACTACATGTGGAATGGATGAAGGCAGATGGTGGCCTTCTTCGACATGTGGTATACACGGAGGAGGATCGTGGCCTTCAACTACATGTGGAATGGATGAAGGCAGATGGTGGCCTCTCTACTACATGTGGTATGGATGAAGGTAGATGGTGGCCTTCTACTACATGTGGAATGGATGAAGGCAGATGGTGGCCTCTCTACTACATGTGGAATGGATGAAGGTAGATGGTGGCCTCTCTACTACATGTGGAATGGATGAAGACAGATGGTGGCCTTCTACTGCATGTGGAATGGATGAAGGCAGATGGTGGCCTCTCTACTACATGTGGAATGGATGAAGGCAGATGGTGGCCTCTCTACTACATGTGGAATGGATGAAGGCAGATGGTGGCCTTCTACTGCATGTGGAATGGATGAAGACAGATGGTGGCCTCTCTACTACATGTGGAATGGATGAAGGCAGATGGTGGCCTTTTACTGCATGCGGTATACGCGAAGACAGATGGTGGCCTCTCTACTATATGTGGTATGGATGAAGGTAGATGGTGGCCTTCTACCACATGTGGAATGGATGAAGGCAGATGGTGGCCTCTCTACTACATGTGGTAAAGGTGAAGGCACATGGTGGCCTCTCTACTACATGTGGTATGGATGACGGCAGAACGTGGCCTCTCTACTACATGTGGTATGGATGAAGGTAGATGGTGGCCTTCTACTGCATGTTGAATGGATGAAGGCAGATGGTGGCCTCTCTACTACAAGTGGTATGGATGAAGGCAGATGGTGGCCTCTCTACTATATGTGGTATGGATGAAGGTAGATGGTGGCCTTCTACTACATGTGGAATGGATGAAGGAGATGGTGGCCTCTCTACTACATGTGGAATGGATGAAGGCAGATGGTGGCCTCTCTACTACATGTGGAATGGATGAAGGTAGATGGTGGCCTTCTACTACATGTGGAATGGATGAAGGTAGATGGTGGCCTCTCTACTGCATGTGGAATGGATGAAGGTAGATGGTGGCCTCTCTACTACATGTGGTAAAGATGAAGGCAGATGGTGGCCTCTCTACTACATGTGGTAAAGATGAAGGCAGATGGTGGCCTCTCTACTAAATGTGGTATGGATGAAGGTAGATGGTGGCCTTCTACTACATGTGGTATGGATGAAGGTAGATGGTGGCCTTCTACTGCATGTGGAATGGATGAAGGCAGATGGTGGCCTCTCTACTACAAGTGGTATGGATGAAGGCAGATGGTGGCCTCTCTACTATATGTGGTATGGATGAAGGCAGATGGTGGCCTTCTATTACATGTGGAATGGATGAAGGTAGATGGTGGCCTTCTACTGCATGTGGAATGGATGAAGGTAGATGGTGGCCTTCTACTACATGTGGAATGGATGAAGGTAGATGGTGGCCTTCTACTGCATGTGGAATGGATGAAGGTAGATGGTGGCCTTCTACTACATGTGGAATGGATGAAGACAGATGGTGGCCTTCTACTGCATGTGGAATGGATGAAGACAGATGGTGGCCTTCTACTGCATGTGGAATGGATGAAGGCAGATGGTGGCCTCTCTACTACATGTGGAATGGATGAAGGTAGATCGTGGCCTTTTACTGCATGCGGTATACGCGAAGACAGATGGTGGCCTCTCTACTGCATGTGGTATGGATGACGGCAGAACGTGGCCTCTCTACTACATGTACATGTGGTATGGATGAAGGTAGATGGTGGCCTTCTACTACATGTGGAATTGATGAAGGCAGATGGTGACCTCTCTACTACATGTGGTAAAGATGAAGGCAGATGGTGACCTCTCTACTACATGTGGTATGGATGAAGGCAGATGGTGGCCTCTCTACTACAAGTGGTATGGATGAAGGTAGATGGTGGCCTTCTACTACATGTGGAATGGATGAAGGCAGATGGTGGCCTTCTACTACATGTGGTAAAGATGAAGGCAGATGGTGGCCTTCTACTACATGTGGAATGGATGAAGGCAGATGGTGGCCTCTCTACTACATGTGGTAAAGATGAAGGCAGATGGTGGTCTCTCTACTACATGTGGTAAAGGTGAAGGCAGATGGTGGCCTCTCTACTACATGTGGTAAAGGTGAAGGCAGATGGTGGCCTTCTACTGCATGTGGAATGGATGAAGGCAGATGGTGGCCTTTCTACTGCATGTAGAATGGATGAAGGCAGATGGTGGCCTTCTACTACATGTGGAATGGATGAAGGTAGATCGTGGCCTTTTACTGCATGCGGTATACGCGAAGACAGATGGTGGCCTCTCTACTGCATGTGGTATGGATGACGGCAGAACGTGGCCTCTCTACTACATGTGGTAAGGAAGTCAGATGGTGGCCTCTCTACTACATGTGGTAAAGATGAAGGCAGATGGTGGTCTCTCTACTACATGTGATATGGATGAAGGCAGATGGTGGCCTCTCTACTACATGTGGTAAAGATGAAGGCAGATGGTGGCCTTCTACCACATGTGGTAAAGGTGAAGGCAGATGGTGGCCTCTCTACTACATGTGGTAAAGGTGAAGGCAGATGGTGGCCTCTCTACTACATGTGGTAAGGAAGACAGATGGTGGCCTCTCTACTACATGTGGTAAAGATGAAGGCAGATGGTGGTCTCTCTACTACATGTGATATGGATGAAGGCAGATGGTGGCCTCTCTACTACATGAGGTAAAGATGAAGGCAGATGGTGGCCTCTCTACTACATGTGGTAAAGATGAAGGCAGATGGTGGCCTCTCTACTACATGTGGTAAAGGTGAAGGCAGATGGTGGCCTCTCTACTACATGTGGTAAAGGTGAAGGCAGATGGTGGCTTCTCTACTACATGTGGTTTGGATGAAGGCAGATGGTGGCCTCTCTACTACATGTGGTAAAGGTGAAGGCAGATGGTGGCATTCTACTGCATGTGGAATGGATGAAAGGCAGATGGTGGCCTCTCTACTACATGTGGTAAAGATGAAGGCAGATGGTGGCCTTCTACTGCATGTGGAATGGATGAAGGTAGATCGTGGCCTTTTACTGCATGCGGTAAACGCGAAGACAGATGGTGGACTCTCTACTGCATGTGGTATGGATGACGGCAGAACGTGGCCTCTCTACTACATGTGGTAAGGAAGACAGATGGTGGCCTCTCTACTACATGTGGTATGGATGAAGGCAGATGGTGACCTTCTACTACATGTGGTAAAGATGAAGGCAGATGGTGGCCTCTCTACTACATGTGGTAAAGATGAAGGCAGATGGTGGCCTTCTACCACATGTGGTAAAGGTGAAGGCAGATGGTGGCCTCTCTACTACATGTGGTAAAGGTGAAGGCAGATGGTGGCCTTCTACTGCATGTGGAATGGATGAAAGGCAAATGGTGGCCTCTCTACTACATGTGGTAAAGATGAAGGCAGATGGTGGCCTTCTACTGCATGTGGAATGGATGAAGGTAGATCGTGGCCTTTTACTGCATGCGGTAAACGCGAAGACAGATGGTGGACTCTCTACTGCATGTGGTATGGATGACGGCAGAACGTGGCCTCTCTACTACATGTGGTAAGAAGACAGATGGTGGCCTCTCTACTACATGTGGTAAAGATGAAGGCAGATGGTGGCCTCTCTACTACATGTGGTTTGGATGAAGGCAGATGGTGGCCTCTCTACTACATGTGGTAAAGGTGAAGGCAGATGGTGGCATTCTACTGCATGTGGAATGGATGAAAGGCAGATGGTGGCCTCTCTACTACATGTGGTAAAGATGAAGGCAGATGGTGGCCTTCTACTGCATGTGGAATGGATGAAGGTAGATCGTGGCCTTTTACTGCATGCGGTAAACGCGAAGACAGATGGTGGATTCTCTACTGCATGTGGTATGGATGACGGCAGAACGTGGCCTCTCTACTACATGTGGTAAGGAAGACAGATGGTGGCCTCTCTACTACATGTGGTATGGATGAAGGCAGACGGTGACCTTCTACTACATGTGGTAAAGATGAAGGCAGATGGTGGCCTTCTACCACATGTGGTAAAGGTGAAGGCAGATGGTGGCCTCTCTACTACATGTGGTAAAGGTGAAGGCAGATGGTGGCCTTCTACTGCATGTGGTATGGATGAAGGTAGATGGTGGCCTCTCTACTACATGTGGTAAAGATGAAGGCAGATGGTGGCCTCTCTACTACATGTGGTAAAGATGAAGGCAGATGGTGGCCTCTCTACTACATGTGGTAAAGATGAAGGCAGATGGTGGCCTCTCTACTACATGTGGTAAGGATGAAGGCAGATGGTGGCCTCTCTACTACATGTGGTAAAGGTGAAGGCAGATGGTGGTCTCTCTACTACATGTGGTATGGATGAAGGTAGATGGTGGCCTCTCCACTACATGTGGTAAAGGTGAAGGCAGAGGGTGGCCTCTCTACTACATGTGGTATGGATGAAGGTAGATGGTGGCCTCTCTACTACATGTGGTATGGATGAAGGCAGATGGTGGCCCTCTACTACATGTGGTATGGATGAAGACAGATGGTGGCCTCTCCACTACATGAGGTATGGATGAAGGTAGATGGTGGCCTCTCCACTACATGTTGTAAGGATGCAGTCAGATGGCGGCCTTCTATTGCATGTGGCATGAATGATCGAAGGAATAAGCAATTCTGCATCTGTTTGAATACCACAGATTACAAATGTGCCAATGTATAACATCAGGATTGCTTTGTAATTTATATTGATTTACGGTTTGACACATAAAAGAATTGCAACCAAACCAGTCGATACTGCTGCCACACCTTTGAAGTGTAGACAATGGCAACTATCCGTGGCTGTGTGGCCAAAGAACGTGTCAATATTGTCCTCATATACACTTACAACTGAAATTTAATTTCCGCTGTAGTCGCAAGTGCCTTGAAAAGAACCAGTAAACTTTAAATTTGCCTTTCATTACACTGTGTAAATAATGATTTGCACAAACTTAAATTTGCGGTGTATCGTGCTGTTTTTGTTGCTGTGTTGCTATGTGTTGTGCTGTGCTGTGCTGTTTAGCGTGCTGAGGTTTTCAGTCCTGTGTTAAGTTGGGTTATTTTGTGCTGTGTGTTCTCTTTGTGTTGTGATGTATTGCATTGTGTTGTGTCGTACAATGTTGTGTGTTGTGCTGTGTTCTGTTTAATGCGATGTGTTGTATTTTTTGTTGTGGTGTGCTTTGTGTTGTGCTATGTGTTATTTCGTGATTTATTGATTGTCCTGTGAAATGGGATGTATTGTGTTTCTTTGTGCGATGTGTTATGTTTTTTGTTGTTGTGTTCTTTGTGTTGTGCTATGTGTTATTTTGTGATCCGTTGATTGTTCTGTTTAATGCGATGTATTGTTTCTTTGTGCGATGTGTTATGTTTTTTTGTTGTGGTGTGCTTTGTGTTGTGCTATGTGTTATTTAGTGATTTATTGATTGTCCTGTGAAATGGGATGTATTGTGTTTCTTTGTGCGATGTATTGTGTGAACAAAGGCTTGACAAAATAGAAAAATATTAAAGGTGTAATTCCAGCCACCAAGACAGGTCTTCATACATAAATAACGGTAGACACAGAAAACCTTCAATAACAATAACGTACTCGCGTGAGCTAAATATACAGACGATTTGGTATGTGTGGCTGATGGCCCTTTGTCTGACGTGACAACTCACCTTTGTCAGCACAAACCAGTTGACGTCAAAGTTACTGTTAGCCAGCTTGTCTGCCTGGAATGAAAAAGAGGCATAGTCAAATTGAATTCCGTTACATCAAAATAACGATTTACACATGTTTTAGAATTATTATGACTCATTATCATATTTATGTTATCAATAATTCATAGAACCACGGGGCTGTTTACCCCTTTGTTATAAGCATACGAAGTTGTAATTAGGAATCTACCGAATATTAAAACAAATTTTAGACACACTGCAACAATATAATGATTGGGGACACCAATAATGGCCTTCCCAGATTGAACCAATAAGGACCTGGGTCATTGGCCATTTGACGCCGTGATATAACTGGAATACTGTTTCAAAGCGGAGTTAAACTTGCTCTTTGAACAAATGCTTTATCAACATAGCTACCCTCCACCACTAGGAGGCTACAGACAAACTTACAGTGCCGAGGAACTTTTCAGCATTGTCAACGTTGGATATGATGAAGATGTTCTTGATCTCGATGTCCTGCAACATCTTGAGCTGCCTCTGTGTCTCCTCCTGGTCGGCCGTCTGGCGGACATACAGATGTTGGGCCGGCACATTCGTCAGCACTCGCCGGGGTGTGTTCTGGATGTCTGGCGGGAGACAAGCAATCTGTCACTTCTTGTCTATTTTTCTTTACATTTGTGTTGGCCTAATAAAATCATACAATCGACTCTGGTTTTAGCAGAGATTTTTAATGAATATGGAAAGTGTTTTGTCGCCTCTTTTTTAATCTTACACTGATAGAAGAATAGTTTAGCGTAATCCTCTTAGAAAATATACAACACAACAATATATCAAGCCAACTGATTTTATTTGATTTATTCTTGTTAATGTTATGTATATGTATTCAAATGAAAGGTTGTAAGGAATTCAGAGAAAGAATTATCCTTATACTTTTTTAAACAACGGTAACAGGATATGTATAGTCAAAACTGGCATGATCTTCTTCTCGTTTCCTAAGCCATTACAAGGATATCAAGTCTGCTATAGAACCAGAGAGGTATATAAGTATGTTAGATGATAAATCACTTGTTGGGGAATTGTGTAAATTCAGAATGTCATTACACAATTTCAGTGTAAATTTTAGACGTAGGTGTGAAAAAAGGGACGTTGAAATGGGTATCTGTAAAAACTGCCAATTAGGAGAAATTGAGGATGAATTTCATGTTTTATTAGTATGTGAAAAAGATAAACATCTTGGAGAAATGTATATTCCTATGTTTAACAATAGGCAAAAAAATAGAGATGTTAATGATCAGTTTTATAAAATCCAACAACTCTGCTGTTATACGTTCATTAGCCATATTGCTGAAACATATATTCTCTGTCAGATAGTTTTTATATATCATGTACATCACGTGACTAAACAAATGAAACTGAAAATGTCAACTGTACAATAGGCCATGTGGCTTTAAATATCAATCTATCTATCTATGTCATTGTCTTCGTAAGGTAATATTCTTGTTTCAAGATCATTTCAGCGCTGTGGGGTTACAAACTCTCTCTCTCCTACAATCTGCATAAAATACTTACCAAAAGACTCATCATAGACAATGGCAACATTGTTCAGATTCTCCTTGCGAACGATTGCTGCGACGACACGCAACAACTCGACTGAAGTAGGTTCCACCTCGAAGTGGATGGTGCTGTCGCCGCTGGAGTAGCGGTAGTAGGAGCTGTCGACAATGGAGGTGTAGGCGATGCCGAGTGTGCTTGCAAAGGACCTCATCAACGGTGCAACACTTGGGGATGTGATGTCAATGATGCCAATCACACCGTCCGCGACTCTGTCACAAACTGAAAATACCATGAACATTTTAGAATTTCTCTTACAATTTTTTAGTTTATTTTATAGTTTAAATTTAATGCTTTTGTTATGCTTGTGTTTCAATCTCAATATTGGGTATTTGTGTGTGAGTGTAGAGAGAGAATTGGACGAGGGTACTCTACTCCTATCGCCCCCTGTCACATGCAATAAAAGGTTATCCAACCATCAGTCAAGTGAGACAGAAGGCTATCATATCGCGCCACTGTCACGTGAAGCAATATTCTACCATATCACCCCTCTGTAACATAAATCAATACTTTTAGTTATGGTGTCTTTAGTTGCCGTTTACGGTGTCATGTTAGGTTAACGGGGAAATATTGGGCGAGGCCCAATATTTTTCTGCTAACCTAATATGACACCGCATACGAATTTATTATGCCGAAAGGTTTACACTATTTAGTATCTTTGTCACACATGTCATGTCAGAATGAAAACTTAACACTTACAACCGGTATAAACTACAGTACCAGTACACATGTTTCCGATACAATGCTTTAATGTAAACATAAATATTAACAATGGAATATTATATATAATGATCTAAATACGGGCTCATGTGGGATCAGTAGTTCTGCTGTCTGATTGGTCAATCTCACTTTGAAGCACAGACTTTATTTATTATATTATAGAGAAAAATAGCTCACAACGGAGGTCACGGATTTACAAATAGCAACGTCATAGAACATTATATAGGATGACGTCACAAACAAACGTGACGCCAATGACGTCAGATAGCAATAGAATAGCAATAGCAGCCCGACGTTAGGGATAAGCGGACTGCTATCAAGTTACTGTTGACCACAGAGTCCTGTTAACATGCGGGCAGTTTTATTATAATTCTATCCATTTTAGGTATAATACTTGTTTAAACGTTCACATTTAGTGAGTTATATATTCCATTGTTAACGTTTGTGTTTACATTAGAGCGTTGTATCGGAAACATATGTACTGGTCCTGTCATTTATACCGGTTGTAAGTGTCAAGTTTTCATTTTGACATGACAAGTGCGACAAAGATACTAAATGGTGTAAACCTTTCGGCATAATAAATTCGCGCAATATTTTCCTGCTAACCTAATATGACACCGTATACGGAAACTAAAGACACCATAACTAATAATTTCCCCCTCTGTCACATGAAGCAATATTCTGTCATTTTCCCCTCTGTCACATGAAGCAATATTCTGTCATATTCCCCTCTGTCACATGAAGCAATATTCTGTCACTCGTATTCCCCTCTGTCACATAAAAGCAATGTTATCCCCTTATGGCCCTTCAGCCACTTGAATTAGTATTACCCAATGTCGCCCCTCAGTCACATGAAGCAATAATCTGTCATATCACTCTTCTCTTCTTTCGCATGAAGCAATATTCTGTCATATCACCCTTCTTTCGCATGAAGCAATATTCTGTCATATTCCCCTCTGCCACATGAAGTAATAGTATCCCCTATGGCCCCCTGCCACTTGAATTAGTCTGACACAATATCACCCCTCAGTCACATGAGACAATGTTCTACCATATATCCCTTTTGTCACATGAAGCAATATCCTATTATATCACATCTCTGTTCATGAAGCAATATTCTACCATGTCGCCACTGTGCCACTTCAATTAGTATTACACCATCTCACCCCTTTTTCAAATAAAGCAATATTGTATCATATCACCCCTATGAAGCAATATTCTGTCATGTTCCCCTCTGTCATATGAGGCAATACACAACCATAACACCTCTCTGTTACATAAAACAATATTCCAAGATATCACTTCCTCTCACTTATCAATATTATAACACTATCTCACCCCTCTGTCATATGAAGCAATATTCTAACACATGAATTGAAATTGATAATTGTAGGTGAGGTGAGGTGAGGTGAGGTGAGGTGAGGTGAGGTGAGGTGAGGTGAGGTGAGGTGAGGTGAGGTGAAATGGGGCTAAAAGTCGCGTTCAAGATTATTGCACATATATAGCGACGCGTATTCATAGGTGTGGGTGCATGTACTTGTCCTGATTCATGTCGGTTTTTTAGTACTAATCCATCGATACTAGTATTTAATGGATTCCTCCCTCAGAAGGAGTACAGGGTTTACCTTTCGACGAAGTTACGGAAGCGAAAGGGTCCACATTTATGATCATAGAATGGAGATACAATACACTGGATAAGTTAACATTTACATTAAATAATGGCTATATCTGTAAAGCCTTTTGTGGTCAGCTATTAATCCTGGAGAATAGTCATACGTTCCCCAGGAGCGCAGCTGGAACAACAACAATAGATTTGTATTCGCTCCATTAGAGTCACATATGGTGGATCCAAAGCATGAGAGATGTTTCATTGATATGAAATACAAAAAATACCTTCAAAAGCCATCGATCGTTGAACTAAACACAACATATTATTAATATTATTACTAGTCGTATCATCTTGCAGTGCGGAGCTCCCCAAAGATATACATCAATCAACACGCCAATATAACGAGCAATCGGATCTAGGATGATGAAAGCTTAAATATTCGTATACGAGTATGAACAATGTAGTTATCAGATGACCCCTGTATGCTTTCAGGGAAATGTCTTGTGATAGCGGTTTGTACAGAATAGAAATATTTTCGCATCAGCGCGTTGAAGTCGAATATATCATTAGAATTAAGGCCGCGTTATCCTCTGTAACGTTCTTGCATACATATTATTAACGTGAGGTAAGGTGGACCAGAGGTTTATGTCAGTTAGGATCGGCTGGTCGTGGGTTCGAATCCCAGATTCTATTATACTGTGTATGTAACACTGAATTTTGAGCGATAGTTAACACGCACCCCTTGCGCAACATAACGCACCATTCTCCCACTTATTAAGAAACTTAAATTAAATAATAAGGATTTTAAAAGTACATTTTATGTTAAAATCTATATTTACAGATCAGGAGACAGTAGTGACTGGAATACAATCATCTTTCCAGGAAATGCTGGAGTACCAGAATATAAATGGTAGTCTACAATCAGGTCGCTACCATCCAGTAGGCCCGAGGTAATACATTGACATTACATGACATTTCATCAAGCGAGCAGATGTTGCTATTTCTCGCCATGTTGCCAAAGTCCCGGAGAATCGAGTTTGACAGGAAACCGCATTATTGTGTATTTCTACCTCAAACCTCTTTCAACTTCCCCAGGCCAGGACGGTAGCCTTGTGGCCACTGCGTCCGATAGTCATACCCACGGCGTTTCCACCCGTAAAAAGCTCACTTACCTCGTCATGGGATATACTACACTCGATATACTACATGGTACAAACTACATCCGATATACTGCAATGTATATACTACATGGGACATACTACATCCGATATACTGCAATGTATATACTACATGGGACATACTACATTGGCTATACTACATGCGATATACTACACTGTATATACTACATGGTAAATACTACATCCGATTTACTGCTATATATATATACTACATTGTATATATTACATTGTATATACTACATTGGGTATACTTCATCCGATATACTACATGGGACATACTACATGGCAAAACTACACGGGACCTACTACATTGGTTATACAACATAGAATATACTACATTGGGTATACTACATCCAATATACTACATTGGACATACTATATCCGATACAACATCCGGTATACTGCAATGTATATATGGGACATACTATATTGTATATACTACATGGGTAATACTCCATTATATATACTACATGGGACATACTACATTGGCTATACTACATCAGATATACTACACTGTATATACTACATGGTACATACTACATCCGATATACTGCAATGTATGTACTACATCTAATATATTGCATTGTATATACTACATGGGACAAACTACATTAGATATACTACATTTGATATACGGTAAACAGCTTTATTTCTGCGCCGTTAAAATATTGCGAATACCACACCAAAGACAATACTGCGACGAGATTTTTTGCGAGTTGCCATGTTGAAATGACCTATCGCTTACCAAACAATAGACAGTATCTCTCCAAAGTTAGTTAATCTGAGTTGGTCGAAAAGTTTACCGGGTGGGATTGCGACCAATTATCAAATACGTTAATTGACTCAACTCAGTGTCCTGACTGTGAGTTTGAATGCAAACAAAATTGTGGACAAAATTGCAAAGGACACTAACGCAATCAAGCGAGGTTGAAAGAAGGCAGGATTACTGTGAGGTAACAGTGACACTTATTGGTCTGTTTACACTGTCATTTGTGATGTATTGTGTGACCATTCTGGATTCATTTGTGTTTTTAACTTATTGAGTAACTTGTGGTTCTGGTTGATGATTTCAACATTTGATGACGTGTTGCAATGAATAAAGTATGTATGTATTATTTATACTTATTTTTGCGTTTTTAATTTTTGCGACTGAGTCTCGTTCGCAAAACTCGCAAAAAATCCCTGTTCACAGTACTACATTCTATATACTACATTGGTTATGCTATAATCCATAAACGTCGCTGTATATACTACATGGGGCATACTACATTATATATACTACATTGTATATACCACATGGGATATACTACATTGGATATACTATATGTGACATACTACATTGGATATACTATATTGTATTTACCACATGGGACATACTACATTGGATATACTACATGGGACATACTTCATCGGATATACTACATTGTATATACCACATGGGACATACTACATTGTAAATACTACATGGGACATACTACAGTAGATAAACTACATCCGATATACTACAATGTATATACTACATGGGACATACTTCATCCGGTATACCTCACTGTATATACTCTAGGGACATACTGCATTGGATATACAACATCCGATATACCACATTGTATATACCACATCCAATATACTGCATTGTAATACTACATGGGAAACCCGTGAAGATCCGGGATAGAATTGGTCTTCAGTAACGCTATGCTTTTCGTAAGAGGCGACTAACGGGTTCGGGTGGTCAGGCTCGCTGACTTGGTTGATACATGTCATTGATCCCAATTGCGTGGATCGATGCTCATGATATCAATCACTGGATTGTCTGGTCCAGACACAATTATTTACAGACCGCCGTCATATAGCTGGAATATATACCCCACTCAGACACGGTATACTGACGCCGAGCCGACCAGTCCTTGTTTTAGCCCCTTAATGCCAAGCGCCAGACAGGGTAACAACAAGTACCATCTTTTAACGTCTTTTGGTATGACGCGGTCGGGGATCGAGTCCCGGACCTTCCGCTCTCCGGGAGGACGCTCTACCACTAGACCACGGAGGCGGTCTGTACTACAATGGACATACTACATAGGACATACTACATTGTATATACTATATAATTTGATAAAAAACAACAACATTCGATGTAATACATGGGATCTACTACAATGGGTATAGTTCATACGATAACAACATTGGCTTTTGAACACTGGGTGTATTACGTGGGACACTCTACATTGCACATATTGTGACATACAATGGTTGTTAAATAATAATTGTAACTGTATTACATTGTTTCTGTTCAGATTCAGTAGACGTTTATTGCACTGTATTTGGACAATGATTAGTTGTCAGGAATGTAGTACCATTTAATGAAAACAGGGGTGAAGAAGTTATTATATTTATACACTAGTGTGATATGTAAACTTCCAGAACAGCGTGGACTGATGTGAAGCGTTAGATAATATTCTGGAAGGTGTTTGGGTGTTAAGTGGGGCGGGCGTGTCCCTGTTTCATCTCACATTTCATCTCACATTTCATCTGACATTAAATCAAGACCGGCTTTCGTGTGAAGATCACTGTTCACCCTGGTGTTCAGCCTAGGCCTATCTCGGAAGCTAAACCACTGTTGCGGCAAGGTGAGTATTATTCTTGACATTGTCATTTCCACTGCTCTCACATTTTATACTGCCATCGAATATAGTACTACCACTCTATTGTGTACTGCCATTGTAATTTCTGTGCATTTATTTGTATTTATTTGCACACGTAGTTAATGTTGTAATACAATTGTTGATTGTATACCAGTTTTTGGTTGTTTGTTGGTTTAACACTAAATTCTTTTACGTACAGATTTCTGATACATTTGATACATCCGATATACTTTAGATCTGATTGCATTATCAATTACAGCTACACCTTTGTCAAACTGTGATTTGACAGACAGTCACGACGTACCTTATGATACACCATATATATCATTGAGACACGTAATTGTAAGCCTTTCTTCAGCTGAATAGTAACATCGACCTAACAACCTGAATATTACCCCGACTGTGTGACTATTGCTTGCATTTCGAGTGGCATTTGGTGCAGTTGTTGAAGGATATGATTGTGGAAAAGATGGATAATACCTACCTTATCTAGTGTGCCGAGAGAGACGCTCTGTTGGATACGATTGTCGAGTAGATGGTACCTACTATTACCTAGTGTGCCGAGAGAGTCGCTCTGTTGGATAAGATTGTCGAGTAGATGGTACCTACCTTACCTAGTGTGCCGAGAGAGTCGCTCTGTTGGATAAGATTGTCGAGTAAATGGTACCTACTATTACCTAGTGTGCCGAGAGAGTCGCTCTGTTGGATAAGATTGTCGAGTAGATGGTACCTAATATTACCTAGTGTGCCGAGAGAGTCGCTCTGTTGGATAAGATTGTCGAGTAGATGGCACTTACCATTACCTAGTGTGCCGAGAGAGTCGCTCTGTTGGATAAGATTGTCGAGTAGATGGCACTTACCATTACCTAGTGTGCCGAGAGAGTCGCTCTGTTGCATAAGATTGTCGAGTAGATGGTACCTACTATTACCTAGTGTGCCGAGAGAGTCACTCTGTTGGATAAGATTGTCGAGTAGATGGCACTTACCATTACCTAGTGTGCCGAGAGAGTCGCTCTGTTGCATAAGATTGTCGAGTAGATGGTACCTACTATGACCTAGTGTGCCGAGAGAGTCGCTCTGTTGCATAAGATTGTCGAGTAGATGGTACCTATCTTTATCTAGTGTGCCGAGAGAGTCGCACTGTTGGATAAGATTGTCGAGTAGATGGTACCTACCTTACCTAGTGTGCCGATAGAGTCGCTCTGTTGGAAAAGATTGTCGAGTAGATGGTACCTACCTTTATCTAGTGTGCCGAGAGAGTCGCTCTGTTGGATAAGATTGTCGAGTAGATGGTACCTACCTTTATCTTGTGTGCCGAGAGAGTCGCACTGTTGGATACGATTGTCGAGTAGATGGTACCTACCTTTATCTAGTGTGCCGAGAGAATCATTGTTTTGCGAGTTGACGAGCTCAAACGTCACTGTCGAGTCTGGCTTGTTTAAATTTTCCAGTATTTTGGGTATTTTGTCATTTTGTTTCTCGATGACTTCGTCGAGGACGACAACTGAAACACATAGAGTAAACACGGTAAGACAGACAAGCTGAAACGTTTAATGATAGACATGTGGAGAACATTTCCAAATTTGACGCACCAGGGACAAAAAAGATGTTCGATGCAATTCCCTATTTTGTCTTGTCCAATATGTTCCCGTGTTTTTTTAGGTGAACAATTGACTTGTCTTTGCATGTATCTGTGATGGGTGCCACCGGTGGGTCAGGATACGCTCACCTTTTCGTGAACACCTACTTTCATCACTATTTGATCGTGATTCATAAACACATGTTCATGATACAGGCGGAATCGTACAATCGACTATGCTTCAGGCAGAGATTTGTGTTGGATATGCAAAGGATTTTGTCGCTTTATTTGCGTACATGTAACTTGAGCATAACAAAGTAGGACATATTGATCAAAAACACGGTGCCACAAACTGAAGGTAAATCAAACACAAACGTATTAATGTGCATATTCTTAATAATAATAATCAATATGCATGTACTACAACACAACGTAGGACCAGGTGTAAAATACCTTATGAAAACATTAATAAAATATATTTAAATATACGTAATGTCAAGATAGCCACCTCCCGGCTTTACTCAGGGACATTATTTGGTTCAGCACTACATTGCTAGACATGCTGACCGCCCCCGTGGTCTAGTGGCAGAGCGTCCGCCCGGAGAGGACGATCCCCGGCCGCGTCATACCAAAAGACGTTAAAAGATGGTACTTGTTGTTACCATGCCTGGTGCTCGGCATTAAGGGGCTAAAAGAAGGACTGGTCGGCACGGAGTATACTGTGTCTGAGTGGGGTATTCATGTTGAACTGCGGCATCATAGAATCTCAGTGCTCTAGCACTATAAATCGGCATTAGTCCGGACTAGTACAGACACACCCACCCACACAAGCGTGCATGCACGTCGCTATGTAAGTGCAATAATCCTGGACGCGACCTTAAACCCAATTTCACCTCTCCCTACCTCACCAATCATTGCTGTAACTGAATTACGCCCACTAACTGTGACGTCATAGATATTGTCTATCCTTATCTAACACTATAATGACGCCCACCTTAGCTTAATTCAGTTACATCTCCAGCAATGCCCGACAAAGGCCGGGATCTTTATGTATTTGATTTCCCCTGTGGGTATGAATAAAAATAATATATTTAGTTTTTTAGCCACAGAATCGCGCTCATGTATACAGATTATATCCAAGACACATAAACACCATCAGCTGTCTTTCCCCATTAAAAGGGCGTTCGGAACTAGAAGCGTATCTTCCCGAGGCAAGGGAGTTAACTGACTATGAAAGTCCAGTTCCCACTTTTAAAATCAGTTAACTCCCTTGCCTCGGGAAGATGCAAGAAGCGTAAATACATAACGTCCAGAATTCACCTCGTTTTGTGTCATGGGGTTTGCTTGCTGTATCCATAATTTCTCGTAATATAAATACAACCAAACATGACCCATTAGCAAGAGGAGCTGCTGCAATGGGAAACTAATATTTGTAAGGCAATTATTAACTGTTATTATTACCCGTGTATATGTGCCATGTCAATTCAAAATATATTTTTAGGTCATTTTCAACAATTTGATTGTCTAACGAGCAAATCGTCTTTATGTTCACAACTCCATTAATCGAAAATTGAAGGCCACGCCGCACTGAAACTACTTCAGAAATAAAGTGTCAGCAATGACGCTACGTTGGCTTCAGCTAGATTGAGCTGAGCAATGAAGACCAGGAAGAAGGTAAAACCCCTTTACCTGTACAAATAGTTTATGGTTGAGTTGAAATGTAGTGCAACATTAGGTTGAAAACACGCGGTGTAGCATTGTGCTGACACGTCACAGTATTTTAATGAAAGCGACAAAACCATTTTCACAATCATGAACTATACAAGCTACAAGCAGCTTCCATTGCACGATTCCGACTCTATCGTGAGCATGTGTTCATGAATCACTACATAATAGTGATAATACCAGGTGTTCGCGAAAAGGTGAGCTAATGTTGCTCCATCGGTGGCGATGCAGCCTTGTCTCGACTAAAGTTCATTTCGCCTACAGTCAGTTCGACTACAGTACTTGTGTGGTGGGTAGTGTGTGTGTGTGTGTGTGTGTGTGTGTGTGTGTGTGTGTTTGTGTGTGTGTGTGTGTGTGTGTGTTTGTTTTTGTTTTGTTTTTTTGTTTTGTTTGTGTGTGTGTGTGTGTGTGTGTGTGTGTGTGTGTGTGTGTGTGTGTGTGTGTGTGTGTGTGTGTGTGTGTGTGTGTGTGTGTGTGTGTGTGCGTGATCAGACTTAACTCAGTAAATAACCCTTTCCATATTCATAAGAACTCGCTGCCCCCAAAGGAGTGGATTGTACGATACCGATTCTTTCATGAGCATGCGCTTACCAAACACCATCAAATAGTAAACACACCAGGTGTCCCCACCCCTCACTTTGCTAATGGACAGGTCCAAACTCGATAATACTGGAGCCATAAACCTTAATACAATGCACACTTGAAATAAAGCCGAATAGTTTAAAATAACCCGCTCAGGGGTAGCTTAGCAGTACATAATGGCAAGCACTCTCAGACTGACAAAATATTACCAAGCTTAGCTTACCCTTCTTCTGATCATGAGTAGGCTCTCGTATGTATTTCAGTTAAAAAAAAGAATCAGAACAGAACTGAAGTTTATCCATGGGAAAGACTTCGGTTCATTGAGTCCCTAGTCTACATTAGTATATACATATTCATGTTCATTTAGAGCATAGAGGATGGACTATAACAGGTGACTCTAAGTTATTATGTTGAACATTTAATAAATCTCGACGAATAAAGTAAAGTTATCTTATATTTAGACTGTAAAAGCCGGACAAAGTTGTATTCAGACGAATATGATATGACACACAAAATGATGCCTATCTTAAATTACTGATACACCATTTGCTTTATAAAGTTCACAAAATTTTAGTTTACTATTAAACAATAAAGCACTTATCACGTTGAACACATGGCTTACTAACAACAACAAACAAATTATCTATTTTCACTTATATGAGTTCATGGTCAAGGATTGACTAACTTTCCTTTAGGTGAACAGATTTCTGAAAAACACTTGTGAGTCAATTAATTAGCAGGAGATGTGTTTTTAGTACTTTCTATATCCGAAGGTATATACGTGTTTTATGCACTATATGCATTTAGTTAAACCTAAATTGTTTGATAGGCATTTCTTAGACGTTGACGGATGACAAAGTAGACAACTTCTTTGTATATTGAAGTAGCTATGTTTCGCTATAGATCATTATAGCATTGTCACATCGTTTGAACTATTAAAGAGTACAGAACAAGTGTTAGGTTAGGTTTCAGAAATAATTTGATATCATATTCATTTGCTGTTGCAGTACAGAACAATTATCCGTCAGAAATAGTTGGCTGAATGTTAGATATTAGGAAAACTGCTTGTTGACTATACTATGATATGTTATATTGGGTCATTATATGTAAGACATATATTCAACTCTCTCTCATTCTGACCGCCTCCGTGGTCTAATGGTAGAGCGTCCGCCCGGAGAGCGGAAGGTCCGGGGCTCGATCCCCGGCCGCGTCATACCAAAAGATGTTAAAAGATGGTACTTGTTGGTACCCTGTCTGGCGCTCGGCATTAAGGGGCTAAAACAAGGACTGGTCGGCTCGGAGTCAGTATACTGTGTCTAAGTGGGGTATTCATGTTAAACTGCGGCATGGTATCTCAGTGTGCTAGCACTATAAATCGGCATCAGTCCGGACTAGTACAAGCAGCCACACACACATACACGTGTATGCACGTCGCTATATAAGTGCAAGAATCTTGGACGCGACGTTAAACCCCATTTCACCTCACCTCTCTCATTCTTCGTCATCTTACTCTACACGGGCTGGTCTTCTATGTTTCTGAAGGGGTCAGCTTTTTACCCTTCTCATCGCTGGTGCATAACGTTTGATTACACTGTTGACGAAAAGGACTCGAAGAAATCCATCCGCCAGTTAGTGTTTTCAACACATTTTGATAAGTACTTCTATGTTTGAGTTACTCTGTCACTGAATTTATGTATAACGAATCACTCATTATATTTGGAGAAATAAGTATAACAATCCTTCAAATAAAACATTTAAGGTTTTTCAGACAGGCCAACAAGGAATGGCTGTCATGATAAGCTTGGACTACCTATTGTTACACTGGATCTATTCAATACCCCCCAATGCAGTCAGTATATAAATAGTTTTCCCATTTCATATTTTTTAGAAATAACTAAAGCTTTTAAACTAAACACATATAAATAATTAAATTCATTTATCAGATAAACATAAGGTTATATAATTAAGATAATAATTAATAAGTTAAAATTGATTGCAATCACTGCTTGTTTATACCTAAGCGACCTTTATTAGATGATCAAACATATTTACCAGCCCTAGTTGTTGTAGGCAGTAAAATTATCTGGGAGAGGATTTTGATATGTTTGACCCCCTCCCTTTTAGAGGTGCTGCACAAGACCTTGTGTCAAATTTCATTGCAGTCGGTGGGCAACACCCGGGCTCGAGGGCTTATGAGACATCAGTTGTCATTGAAATACTCAGAAAAATTATTTTTAAACGACATCTAAGATCACATAAAACAACTCCTAAACTAATTTATAATATGACATAAAATCAACCAAACACGCATACCAGACGATATAAAATCCATCAAACACACATACGAAACAAAACATAATATATTAAACGCTCTTTGGAATTTGAGGATGTTGAAAATGTCCTGGAAAATTAAAAAAAATGATATATTTATTTACACCATTTGAGCATGCAACAATATGTCATGTTGACCTTGTTTGGGGTTAATCCACTCAACTATGACCTATGTGATTATAAGCTGTCTGACAAGAGGGATGTCTGACAAATAAGGGATACCGAATTTTAGTATATCCTTCTTGTTTTCCAAATTTCTAATACCAATGAGAATAATTAGTCTCGGT